ATTGTTTAATTTATGGATTCATTCATTCATTCACTGAATCATTGATTATTTAAGTCATGGATTAATTAATTAAATCATTGATTGATTCTTAGTTTGATTGTTGGTTAGTTAATTGATTATTTCATTATTTATTGATCCATTAATTGATAGGTTCAATGAATGATTCATTAATGAGTTGATTACTTGATCCATTCATTGATTGGTTGATTGATTCATTAATTGATTTGTCCATTAATTAACTAATTTGTTAATTTGTTAATTAATCAATTACTTAAATAATTGGTCCATTAATTGATCGGCTGATTGATTAATTAATTGATTGATGCATTTATTTATTGATTGATTCGTTTATTTACTGACTGATTCATTCATTAATTAACCAGATTGACTCATTCATTCATAGATCAAGTGATTGAGCAATTGATTGATTGACTGATTTGCTCATTGACTTGATTCATAGATTGATTCTTTGATTGAATGGTTCATTGCTAGGTTGATTCATTCATTGACTGATTTATTAATTTATTGACTGATTCATTCATTGATCAACTAGAATGATTCATTCAAATGACTGAGAAATTGACAGATTCATTGATCTATTAATTTGTTAATTAATTAATTCATTGCATAATCTATTGCATCATTGATTAGTTGAGTCATGGATTAATTCATTGAATCACTTTTTGATTCTTAGTACAATTGTGATTGATTCATTTTTCATGTCATACTAGCCTCATTAATTTATTCATAAAGCTTTTTCTTGTATGAACTTTATAATATTTCTATATTTTGTCAAGCCAAGACTAGAGCAGGAGCTTCAGCAGTGAGCATCGGCTTTCGTCCTGGGGATTTTGGCATTATGTTTTGTCGACTGACCTTTATAGGAGAGATGTGGAAGTACTCGTAGAGGCTGATGGGAGATGTGTCTGTAGCTGAAACATGATTTAACTCAGTCTTTAGATACTCTATGTCTTTATCAAACAACTCCACCTGAAAGACAACACAACAAGAGCTCAAACACACACCACCGATCAGCAGTTCACAGAAAACCTCCATGAAAACTTTAAATAAATAAATCAATAATATGAGCGAGTTTTATCTCCATATTCTGAATTAAAACTGAAATAACTCAGACAATTTCCTCTAAATTTTACGCTTCACAATTCGGAAGCTTTTCTCAGATCTTTGATTTTTTACATCTCATCATTTTCCTTCAAATGTCATTTTTCCCCTTACATCTCACCATTTTGACTTTTTTCTTAAAACATTTCGCTTTTTAAAAAAAAATTACAAATGGAGCAATTATCATTTTGTTTTTAATGGGGTATATGCCGAAGCATGCTAATTACTTTTAATTTGCCAGTAACCTGGGTTAAGCACTTTCAGCGAACTGAATGCCATTGCAAAAACGGTGCGTTTAAGGTCTGTTTTCTGGTAAATTACATTTCCCCGCCATGTCTTTATAATATGAGCATTTATTTTACCCCAGTATATTCAATGGAGTTTCTGCCATAGCCTGCCGATTCTGACAGGTGCGTGCGAGTAAATGGCTTGTTGTCTCGTTTTACGCTTGAGCAACTAAATGAATTCCAAAGTCTGTTTGACTGATTATATTTTAATTCAATTACAACATCGATGCTGCAAAAGGAACCTGATTAAATGAAAAAAAAACTCACAATAACAGGTCACCGGAAGTGCACCAGTATGGGAACAACACTAGCTCGACATATACCCTATTCTCAATTTGAGGTTGCTTTTACACCTTTGAATCGATTCAGTTGTTCTGAAACAGGGCTTAAAATAGTTACACTGTTGCTCTTTGTTCTTGGTGCGGTTCGCTTTCACACGGCAAAGTTTCTAAAAGGACTAAAATAGCTGAACACCAAGCACATCGTTTTTCTTGTGAAATTCCCAATAAGTTGATATGTCACATGACCCACTTCCTGTTAAAAAAACAAAAGTTGAATCCAAGATGGCCGACTTCAAAATAGCCACCACCCATCTTGAAAAGTTTGATTTTACTCACTTTAAAATAGAAGTAAGTCATTACCTATGCACGATAAACGAAACAAAAAATACCAAAGCAAAAAGAACTGTTAATTATTTTAAAGCCTTAAATTTTGCTTTTTGAATAATTGTTATTGTTGTTTTTTTCTTTTTTCTTCTTCTTTTTCTTATATTGTACTTGATTGGATGTTAATATAATGTTGTTATTGCCCTTGTTTGTTCTGTGTTCTAAAATTGCAATAAAAAAAAGAAAAAAAAATCTTGAAAAGTTTGCCCCCTCACATATACTAATGTGCCAATAACAGGATATTAATATCACCAACCATTACCATTTTATTAAGGTGTATCCATATAAATGCCCCACCCTGTATAAATATAATAATTGATTAATCTATTCATTGATTTTAACTGATTAATTAATTATTTCATTCACCGATCTACTAATTAATTTATAGATTGATTCACTTATTTAATTGATTCTTTCATTTGATTCATCATTCATTCACTGATTGGTTCATTAATTCATTCATCAATCTACTCATTCAGAGATTCACTAATTGAATCATTCTCTGATACATTCATTCCATAAATACTTTATAATAAAAATGTATTAAATTATTAAATGAAAATAATTTAATAATAAAAATAATAATAAAAATCCTTACACTGATGTTAGCACTCTGACTTCAGGATTTCAGAGTATTCACAATTCAGACTTGTTTTCTTTAAACTCAAAGTTTAGACATTGCAATGGACATCTTGCAACTTTTCTCACTGATAAGTGATAGTACAGATGTTGATGTGGTACAGATGTTGATGCAGTCAGGATCCTCACCTCCTGTTCAGACGTCACAGCACTGGTGTGTTCAGCAGTGAAGAGCTCAAGTATGGCATACAGAAAGCCCAGATCCAGCCGCAGGTCCATCTCCTGAATCAACACCATAAAATATCTGCAGGAGCCAAAAAACAAATCAAAAATGACAATCAGACGTGTTTCACAGATGTTCAGAGTGAGGTGAAACATTTCTACTCTAGCCTCCATTTTCATTGAGGGGAGACGTCAAACAAATATTTAGTATTTAAAAACATGAGGAACAATACATTCATCTAAAGCATGTTTGTTAAGCTTATTAAATGAAAACCAATTGTTAATTCAGGGTAGCACGGTGGCTCAGTGGTTAACACTGTCGCCTTTTAGCAAGACGATCGCTGGTTCAAGTTCAGACTGGGCGAGCTGGCATTTCTGTGTGGAGTTTGCATGTTCTCCCCATGTTGGCGTGGGTTTCCTTCACAGGAAAAAAACCATGTGCTATAGGTGAATTGGATGAATTAAAACATATGCTGGAATAGTTGGTGGTTCATTCCGCTGTGGAAACCCCTGATAAATAAGGAACTAAGCCGAAGGAAAATGAAAATAAATTTAGGAATATGCAATATACACAAGCTGGGATCAAGAGGAATCACTTCATCAATGATTTGACTTACATTATTCAGTATTTTAACCCCTTTGCACTCTCACATACAATGCAAAAAAAAAAAAAAAGTGTGAGCGCGTTTAAATGAATGTGGTTTTCTGTGGAAGCAGGCTAACTTAACTTACATCATACCATTCGAAACAAGCAGCCGATACAGAATTTAAAGCACATCTGAGAAAGCATTTTACAGTGACCTCCAGAAATAGCCAGAGTGTGAAGTGAGGGTGTGTGTGTGGTGAACTGAATGAGGAAGTTCAGTAGTTGAAGAGCTCTTCCTGTGAGCCTGATTCGACCAAAATAGAAATGCTAGAGCAAACGATTTACCCACAGGTCATCATAATCTGTCAATGTAGCCTGCAATTGCGATAACAGTAGTTTAAAGACAGAACTTGAAATTGCTTGTATTCTGATGAATAGTGGACTCTTTTTGCAAGATTGTTATGACGCGTTTAATGATCATCGGCATCTTAAATCATTGAAATTAAAAAAAAAAAAGTAAAACATTTGTATATTTATACACTCACCGGCCACTTTATTAGGTATACCTTACTAGTACTGAGTTGGACCCCACCTTGCCTTCAGAACTGCCTTAATCCTTCATGGCATAGATTGAACAATGTGCTGGAAATATTCCTCAAAGATTTCGCTCCATATTGACATGATAGCATCAGGCAGTTGCTGCAGATTTGTCGGCTGCACATCCATGATGGGAATCTCCAGTTCCACCACATCCCAAAGGTGCTCTATTGGATTGAGATCTGGTGACTGTGGGGGCCATTTGAGTACAGTGAACTCATTGTCATGTTCAAGAAACCAGTCTGAGATGATTCGCGCTTTATGACATGGCTGCTAGAAGTAGCCATCAGAAAATGGAGAGACTGTGGTCATAAAGGGATGGACATGGTCAGCAGCAATACTCAGGTAGGCTGTGGCGTTGATGCTCAATTGGTACTAATGGACACAAAGTGTGCCAAGAAATCTCCCCCACACCATTACACCACCACAACCAGCCTGAACCGCTGATACAAGGCAGGATGGATCAATACGTTCATGTAGCTGATGTCAAATTCTGGCCCGACCATCTGAATGTGGCAGCAGAAAAATAGACTCTTCATCATGCGGATTGTAGCCTCAGTTTCCCGTTATTAGCTGACAGGAGCGGCACCCGGTGTGGTCTTCTGTTGCTGTAGCCCATCCGCCTCAAGGCTGGACGTGTTGTGTGTTCAGAGATGCTCTTCTGCAGAGCTCGGTTGTAACGAGTGCTTATTTGAGTTACTGTTGCCTTTCTATCAGCTGGAACCAGTCTGGCCATTCTCCTCTGACCTCTGGCATCAACAGGGTATTCGTGCCCACAAAGCAATTTTCTCTTATTCGGACCATTCTCTGAGATGGTTGTGCGTGAAAATCCCAGAAGATCAGCAGTTTCTGAAATACTCAGACCAGCCCGTCTGACACCAACAACCATGGCAGGTTCAAAGTCACTTAAATCACCTTTCTTCCCCATTCTGATGCACGCTTTGAACTGCAGCAGATCGTCTTGACCATGCTTGCATACTTAAATGCATTGAGTTGCTGCCATGTGATTGGCTGATTGGAAATTTGTGTTAACGAGCAGGTGGACAGGTGTACCTAATAAAGTGGCCAGTGAGTGCAAAAGCCCAGAACACACCAAGCTGATCCATGATTTATTAATACCTTAATTGAGGTATTCTGACTGTAAAGTTTTAGATATTTGATGCTTTTACAATTATTATCATTAATTTAGGAGCAACGTCATGTCTTTTGTTTTTTGTAGCTCCTTGGTCCCTGTTTTCATTGTCTTGGAAGTGCACAGACCAACACACTCAGCTTAGAGAGAACATTATGGTGGAGGAGAGAGAGAGAGAGGATACTGAAGGAAGGGACGCACTTGATGCGCAGAATGTCGGAGTGTCCTGCTGCTCTGGTGATGATGCTCACGTCAGCCAGCGGTTTTGGCTCTTTAATTCAAACAAAAAAGGAGAAAACATTTAGTCTAATGCAACAAACACCAGATTAGATGACAGTAAGTAATTAAAAGAGTTCCTACTCTTAGCCAAACGCCAAATTTTATGGCTAAAAAGCTGAACAGAAAGTGTAGTACAGTATTAATAGCGTGTCGTCAGGTTTAGGACACAGTTTAGCCTGATCGAAAGCTAGACTGACCTGAGTCCATGCTGACAGACTTTGGCGGTTTGATGGGGTAAAACACAAACGGGAATATGGCTCCTTGCAGCTGGTTTTGGATCTGATCAGTGAACAGAAGAGTTCGTCTTTTCAGCATTTTAAGCATTGATCATATTAAACTTAAGCGTACAGTGGTTACAAGCAGACCTGGATCCTGTTGATCTGGACTCTGTATGTTTTCTGGCGGGCTGAAACGCTGTACTCCACCTTCAACGCCGGCAGGAAGTTCCTTCTGAGTGGAGCATCGTAGGGCTGCATGATCCTCATGTCCACACCGTTAGCAGCAAACAACACCTGATGAACAACACACACACTATGATTAATGAAATGTCTTGTGCTTGTTGAAGCTGGCAGTATTTTGCTAAAAAAAAAATTATAAATGCAATATCACACTCTTAGCAGTGCGATGTGGCGGTATATTGCCACTGCTGGGACACTAAGCACTGCTACTCGTGTGATATTCTCACCTGGTAGTCGTTGTCCAGGTCTATGATGGTGCTGTCCACTGGGCCGTTCTCCATGTAGTCTCTGTAGTGCTGCTCCAGAACTGCTGCCTCTTTAACACTCAGAACTTTCCAGCGGCTGCGCTTCTTCGGCTTGGTTTCCCACACAACATCAGAGCTGACCAACAAACAGATATACAGTCTTCAAGACAAGCTTTTAAAAGCTTAAAAAATATCTGCAACTCTTACCAACCTCACACTAAAGAGCTCACACCAATCAAGAGAAGAGAAGCTCTCACGCTACTTTTAAGTGTCCTAATATTAAGTTGGAGGTCAGAAAGCACTGTAAGATTACACATTTAATATTGGAATCATTTTGATGCAGTTCGTTTGAATCAATTAAAGGCTTAATGTGTGTAAACTCCGCCCTTCCATAAGCCAGCTCTGCTATGATTGGTCAAATTATTCCGCATCTATTGCATGTTGTGCATTTCGTTATGCAAATGAGCTACTTTGATCATGTTGACATAGGGCATTTAGAATAGTCAAGCTTTAAATACGAAAATGATCGAGACTCTTTGGTCATTGTTGAACGAGATGCTAATGGTCTAATCTGATTCCATGATCTATGCTAAGCTAGGCTAAAGGTGCCAAACCCGTTCATTCATTTGCCATCAGTCTTAGTATGCGATATAATTACAGAATAGTCAAGCTTTAAATACGAAAATGATTGAGACTCTTTGGTCATTCTTGAGTGAGATGCTAATGGTCTAATCTGATTCCACGATTTATGCTAAGCTAAGCTAAAGGTGCCAAACCCGTTCATTCATTGACATCAGTCTTAGTATGCGATGTAATTACAGAAGATTCGAGCTTTAAATACGAAAATGATCGAGACTCTTTGGTCATTTTTGAGCGAAATGCTAATGGTCTAATCCGATTACATGACCTATGCTAAGCTAAGCTAAAGATGCCAAACCCGTTCATTCATTTTCCATCAAACTTAGTATGCGATGTAGTTACAGAAGAGTCGAGATTTAAATACGAGAAGGATCGAAACTCTTTGGTCATTTTTGAGCGAAATGCTAACGGTCTAATCCGATTCCATGATCTATGCTAAGCTAAGCTAAAAGTGCCAGTGTGATGTGATGTCCTCATCTAGAAGTAATAGTGGCACCCTGCAGTACCTGGTGATGCCAATGAAGGCCACTTCCTGGCTGGAGTTGTTGTTGACCAGCGAAATGCCCATGTTCTGCAGCAAGATGCTGATTTCTTGCTGAGCCAGCTCTATCTTCTCACTGTCGCAGATCTTCTTGAAGATGCGCTGCTCGCTGGTGAAGAGCGCCACACGCTGGAGGCCTTCATAAAACGACACCAAAAACAACTTGCCCTCCTTGTCCACATCCAGCAACTGATCCTATAGAACAAACCAGACTTTTATAGACTTTTATTTCAGCTTGATAAAGTACTTCCAACTAAAACTGAATATTGAGTAGTGGGCGGGGCTTTCATTTTTGCGCATCATTCACTAATAGCAAATTGAAGGTATTAATATGCAACTGCTATGGAAACTCTCAAGTTGACGTCAACAAAAGTACCACCACTCCAAAGATGGAAGCAAATACTCAGACTTTAATTGAAGATTTCCCAAACAAACTATTTCATTCAGTGGATTAACTTGCACAAATGTATTATTCACCTTAATAATAATAATGTGCGCTAGCAAAATAAACATACATAAAGTCTGAATTACTCCCAAGCTTATTGTGATTTAGCATTTTTTATGAGTTTTTATTTCAATACTATTTTAAAATTGGCTGTACATTTTAATTTAGTTTGTTTTATTAATGGTTTTGTTAGTTTCGTTGCTATTTTTGAACACATTTTTATGTAGTTTTTATACATTAGTAATTGTAGTTTATCAGTTGACAGAAAAATGTTGAGCAAAGCTAAATTTTGTGTTTGCATAGCTTACATAAACGCTCCTGTAAACCTCTTATATAGAAATAAAATGATAGTTTGAACAAACACTGAAAACAAAACCACACAAATGCAAAAAATAAAAGTAAAAATTATAATTCAAACTAATTTCTTCATATTAAAATTAAAACTGTTTATGTAGACAAACATGTCTAGTTTACATTTTTTATCAGATGAATAAAAGTTGGAACGTGTTTCATGTTTATATGAAAATATATATTTTTTACAGTATAAAATCCTGCCTTTGACTGATGTGTTTGGCGCCATCTACTGGTGCTTCTCTGAAAAGCCGCAGTTCACAGTGCTTCCACCGCAGAACGAGTGCTTATAAATTCTGAAAATCATTTATTTTTGCAAATTATTAGTCGATTTCAGTTTTTTTAATCAGTGACTGTTGTTTAGTTTTAGTTAATTGTTAATTTTTCACTTTAAATTCAGTTAATAAAAACGGTTTTTGACTGATAGTTTCAGTTTTAGTTTTCGTGTACTAAAATAACCTCGATTGTTTTTCTGATTATTTTGTTAACCATGCCTAGTTTACATTTTTTATCAGATGAATAAAAGATGGAACATGTTTCATGTTTATACGAAAAATATGTTTTTGTACAGTATAAAATCCTGCCATTGACTGATGTGTTTGGCGCCATCTACTGGTGCTTCTCAATAGCAGCAGTTCACAGTGCTTCCACCATAGAACGAGTGCTTATTAATCCTGAAAATCATTTATTTTGACTAATAATTTTATTTCAGTTTATTAAACAGTGACTGTTGTTTAGTTTTAGTTGATTATCTTAAATTTAGTGTAATGAAAACGTTTTTTGACCAATAGTTTTAGTTGTAGTTTTTATTTACTAAAATAATCTTAATTACTACATTATAATGCAGGTATTTTCCTAATCATGACATCGCTAATGATTGTAGTTAACGTGTGTGTGTGTGTGTGTGTGTGTGTGTGTGTGTGTGTGTGTGTGTATATATATATATATATATATATATATATATATATAAAAATACACACACACCAATGATTCGAATTGAAATAGTATACTGGGAACGTTAACTACACACACACACAAACACATATATATATATGTGTATACATATATATATACATATACATATATATATACACATACATATACATATATATATAAACATGCACGCACGCACGCACGCACACGCACACACACACACATATATATATATATATATATATATATATATATATATATATATATATATATATATATATATATATATATATATATATATATATAAAAATCAAATAATGATGAAATGTAGGTTTTCCAGTCGTACCTCTTCACTCTTGAGCTCTCCTTTGTATTTGCCCAGTTTCCAGCTGAGGATCCTGGAGCCGGTTGGTTCAGCCCAGGTGTAGTAAACCGCCTGACCTGGACTCAGTTCATCGATCTCGGCCTGAGAGCTGCCAGAATTTTGTCAGACCAAGCATCAGTAACAAACCATGAGCGAGAATCACAGTAAAACACACGGTTTTTGCTCAGCAAGGAAGCATTCATTGGTCAAAAGTGACAGTATAACTAGTGAAGTAAAGATAAGTGATGATGGGTCGCTCTGGAACGATTTGTTCATTTTGAACGAATTTTAATGATGAGCCCTTTCTGGGAGTAATTTGTTCATTTGTGCAGGTCGGGAAGAGTTTTACATATTTTTTTCCTTTCCCTTCAGGTATTTGTATGGATTTCTTCATATTATATATAATTATTATATCATCATGTATTATATTTTTTATAATGTCTGTTTTTATGATGCATTTTAGCAAAACTCACAATACAATATTTGCATTTTGCTGTGAAAAAAAGCACAAAAAATCCTGAATCCTTCATGTTTTAACATGTATAATACTAAGAAATATTTATTGGACAGCAAAACAACACCACCGATTATTATTATTATTATTATTAAATAGCATTTCCCATTTCTGTGTGGAGTTTGCATGTTCTCCCCGTGTTTGTGTGGGTTTCGTGCTCCGGTCTCCTCCACAGTCCAAACACATGTGCTATAGGGGAATTGATGGACTAAATTGGCCTAGTGTACGAGCGTGTGTGTGAATGTGAGTCTGTATGGGTGTTTCCCAGAACTAGGTTGCGGCTGGAAGGCCATCCGCTATTGTTACATTCCTGTACATTTCTTTGTGGCGTGATTATTATTTATATATTTTTTTTCTCGCTAGTCCCTCTCTCTCTGTGCTCGCTTGCTCTCTACCTCTCTCCCGCTTCCACCTATACAGTGGCTCCGATTGGCTACTGCTGCCCAGCTGTTTGCCCTGCCCCCTTGACGTCTCCAATCCAGCCGCTGCCACCGTGGCATAAAAGTGGTGACAGGACGCTACTCTGGAGGCCCTGAATTTCTGTGTTGTGCTGTGTGTCAGTGTTTTTGATATATGTCTACTGTTACAATTTGGTATCTGTCCGTTATTTGTCCTCCATTTGTCTACCGTCAGTGTCATGCGCATCTGAGGTTGGAGAGTGGGTCAGGTAAGAATGTCGTGCGACATACATTGTGCACACGTAGTTTGTATATCTCTGTATTAGATACACTAGGTAAGGGGCGTGCTCCACCCACTGTACTTTTTGTTTTCCCATCAGATATTAGCGTAGGTTAGGTAGTGCGTAATAGACGCAAAGACTTCTTTTCAATAACTTCTATTTTTTATTTTTATTTTGGATAGTTAAGGTAGAGGTTGGGCCAAAAGGATTGTTTTGTTTTATTTATTTCTATTGTTTGGACGCCGCCCGCGTCTCATTTCTCCAACTCTCCCATATCTGGTCAAACATCTTATGTCATTTGTTATCTGTGAAATTCAATGTCTCTTTGTAAATATTTAATAATCTTTCTATATAAATATTTTTTTTGGCATTCATTATTATCACTATTTTTGTAAATAAAATCACTTTATTTCATTTAGCTGGTCTTGGATTTGTCCCTCATTTATTGATATTGTGTGTTTGCTTATGTGTTTCACCCAAAGATTAATGTTACTCCTCTTCCCCTTTATTTAACATCTTTTAAATCGTAACAGCTATGCAAAACATATGCTGGATAAGTTGGCAGTTCACTCCGCCGTGGTGACCCTTGATAAATAAGGGACCTAGCCGAAGAAAAATGAATAAATCAATGAATATTTCCCTGTATTTTTCTTCAAATGCAGCCTTGGTGAGCAAAAAACACCACCACCAAAAAACATCTTACTGACAGCAAACTTTTAAGCACTGTTGTGCATTATTACAAAGAAAAATGAAAAAAGGAAAGACTATTTTAAGCAGCAGAGTTTGTTCAAAGTGTTGAGACTGTATGAAAGTCAGACACTTTCACAAGCCACACTGTGAAATTCGGAGAGATAAAGTTGAAATGATGAAGGCGCTGCAGAATTAAAAGCCCATTGTTACAAATGACAACATACAGAAACAATTAACAGCACAGGTTCCTCCATCTCCCAAAGTCACAATAGCTGAGGGAAAAAGGGAGATTTATTCATGCTCTGAATGTCAGAAGATGAGCGCAATACAGTAGTTAGGGAACGAAAACGTAGCAGGAAGAAAGCGGGTTCATTTATGTGTCTGTCCACAAGCCATAAAACAACAGCAATCATAAAAAGAGCAAATATGTGAATGTGAAACTCGCTCATACTCCAGCCTGTACTCTGTGGAAGGAAACGAGTTAAAGAAAGAAACTGTATTGCTGTTTTCCGCCCTTCACCAAACAGAGAGATGCAGAAGCAGCACAGTTTCATGCACCTCAACCAGCATCTGCTGATCTGTGAGAAAGAGTGTGTGTGTGTGTGTGTACCAGAGGGAATCAGTCTCATCCCTCATTGATAAATCCAGTATTTCATCCTGAAACCACGTCGAAGGCTTCCTCTTACTGTTGCTATGAAGAAAACAAATATGCAACAAGATAACACTTTCTAGCAACACGGATGACGTGAAAGTGATAAGAATACAAACAGATACAAGTCATTCATTTCCTGTCCACTTCATTATCAAATCATCAGGGCCGGAGTGGGACTCCTTTTCAGCCCTGGAGTTTCAAGCCTTAGACCGGCCCACCTCAGATCACGACTGCCTATATTAAAACGTCATTTTAAATTCAGTTTCTAATGACACTAACACGTCTTTTTCAAGGACACAGCTGCTTTAGAACTCGAAATGTTTTTCATAAATAGAACATTAAGGGGAGCTAAATCTCCAACACTAATCTTTAAAACATCACAATGTCCTTTCCTGCAATATCTGAATATATATTCTGTGCAAAATTCTTTATAGATATAACAAAAAAAAAAAAAACAAACAAACAAAAAAATTAAATATGCACACCTATATACAGTTGAAGTCAGAATTATTAGCACCCCTTTGAATATATATATATATATATATATATATATTTTTTTTTTAATATTTCCCAAATTATGTTTAACAGGTCAAGGAAATTTTCACAGTATGTCTGATAATATTTTTTTCCTCTGGAAAAAGTCTTATTTGTTTTATTTTGGCTAGAATAAAAGCAGTTCTTAATTTTTTAAAAACCATTTAAAGGACAAAATTATAAGCCCCTTTAAGCTATATATTTTCCGAAAGTCTACAGAACAAACCATCATTATACAATAACTTCCCTAATTACCCTAACCTGCCTAGTTAACCTAATTAATCTAGTTAAGCCTTTAAAAGTCACTTTAAGCTGAAGTGTCTTGAAAAATATCTAGTGAAATATTGTTTATTATCATCATGGCAAAGATAAAATAAATCAGTAATTAGAGATGAGTTATTAAAACTATTCTGATCATAAATGTGCTGAAAAAATCTGCTATCTGTTAAACAGGAATTGAGGAAAAAAATAAACAGGGATTTAATATTTCAGGGGGGCTAATATTTCTGACTTCAACTGTATTTATTTAAATATATATTTTTTGCATTCATTTTCATTATCGGTCCTTTAACCTCATTAATAATCCCCTCTTAAATACCTTCAGACAAAATCAAATTATTAGAAAGAGAAATAAAAAAAGGGATGCAGAAAAAATTTCACATCAGCTTTTAAAAACCTTTGAACTCCCATTGGTCTGTGGTCATGATGATGTAATGGGTAGGTGTGGCACAGAGGCTCTCCCTACTTTTATGTTCCACCCATTACCTCGGGTTAGTCTTTTGAGGTCGAGTAAAAACCTGAAATCTTTTTTGTGTTTAATTATTTTTTTTAAAGAAATCTAATTGTATAAAGTGCTATAAAGAATAATAAAACATGACTGGGGAGCAGAGCTGGAGCTGCTTCTTAATTGGGTCATACTTTACAATAAGGTTCATTAGTTAATGTTAATTAATGCATTTCATAAGATGAACAAACAATGAACAATACATTTACTACTGTATTTATTCATGTAAGTTAACGTTAGTTAATGAAAATACAGTTGTTCATTGTTAGTTCATGTTAACTCATGGTGCATTAACTAATGTTAACAAGCATGGACTCAAACGTTAATAATGCATTAGTAAATGTTCAATTATGATTAATAAATGCTGTACATGTGTTGTTCATGATTAGTTCATGTTAGTAAATGCATTAACTAATGAACCTTATTGTAAAGTGTTACCCTTAATAGTGGTTTTCTCACCTCTGCACCTTCTGTTGTGTCTTTATTTTGCCATTGAGAGAAGAGTGTAAAGGACATTTTCACATACTGAAACTTCCACTGTCTTTAACCCTGTTAATGCGAAGAAAGCTCTTATATCAGACAGTGATTCTCACCTCTGGTGGTACTGCAGCGTCTCGTCCTTAGTGTGGTTGATGAGGAGGAAGGGAGCGGCTCCATCATGATAATCAGAGAAGAGGATCACAGCTGAATGCTCTGTCAGATTCACATCCACAATGATGCCACCCAACTATAAATCAGAGGAAACACGAATGATCAAGTGTATCAGTCAGTCTGTTAATCATATTCATGAATTTGGCAGATGATTCATCCAAAATGACTTACATTGCATTAAAGGTACACGATTTACACACAATTTTCTTGCGAATCTGACCATGCACAACATATTAATATCTTTCATTATGTCTTGCTACAATCCAAACAAATGTATTACTTTTCTCTTTTACCTGTGAACTTTTGTTTTGGCTTTTATTTGAATTTAAATGCAAGAAACGCAAAACTATATACACAAAAATTCAATTTATGCTGCATTTCAGAAATTTAAGCGCTAAAATTAAGAGTCCCAATATTATCTTTGTTACACTGGCTGCCTGTTGTGGAAATATAAATTTCTATCAACTAATTCCAAATGAACAATAATCTACGTATAACTGAAAAGTTATATTCTCTGGTTTTTAATTATATAATTTCATTAACATCCCAGCTAGGAGGGACATTTAACCTTTATCTTTCTGATTACAGGCTAAGCCAAAGTAATGCAAATTGTCAGTTTCACAGCATGGGGTGTCTATTGTTTTCTCTTTTCGATCAAATGGTCAGGCGGTTTCTGTCTCCAGAACATGATGAGATTAGACCTGAGAAGCAGTTTACCCTGCCGACCACAACCCTTAATTTGCATGCTTTGTTTAGCCATATCCTCTCCTCCTAAGAACACAATATAGCCATGAAATCTTTGTCTTAATGCAGATTAATTCAGACTTGTGTGAGACTTGTGAGAGACTTGTGAAAGACCTTGCAGACTGCGGACCTCTAGTAGGCTCTTGCAGACACATAGACATCTTGAAGACGCTGTTTGACTGCAGATTAACCAACACGTCTCAATAAAGGAATTCTGCTTGTTTCGAGTCTCCTGGACTGGGTTGTCTCTTCTTTTTCACTCATTTATTTATTTATTTTTTTACAACACTGTTAAGTCCCGTATTGATAATAAAATATTCCTTCTTACCCATGAGGCTGTAGTTTCGTTCCTGTTTATCTAACCAACCTTCTGTCTCGCTACAATCCAACAAGCTCTTTAAGACCTCAAAACTCAGGGCTTCTGGTAGTACTCAGTATAGCAAAGTCCACTAAAGGAGGTCGAGCGTTTACATATATGGCTCCTAAACTCTAGAAGTTAGCCTTTTAGACGGCGGATGTAACTCAGGCTTTTGTCTAGGTTCAGCAGGAGGCAGTTCTCCAGCAGGAGAAAGTCAAAGCTGTTACTTTCTCTTTTACCTGTGAACTTTTGTTTTGGCTTTTATTTGAATTTAAATGCAAGAAAAGCAACACTAAATACACAAAAAATACAATCTATGCTGCATTTTTAAAATTTAAGAGCTACAAATTAAGAGCCATAATTTTATCTCATTACATTTGCTGCCTATTAAGTTCCGTATTGATTATAAAATATTCCTTCTTAGCCATGAGGCTCTAGTCTCGTTCCTGTTTATCTAGCCAACCTTCTGTCTTCTTACCCATGAGGCTGTAGTTTCGTTCCTGTTTATCTAACCAACCTTCTGTCTCGCTACAATCCAACAAGCTCTTTAAGATCTCAAAACTCAGGGCTTCTGGTAGAACTCAGTATAGCAAAGTCCACTAAAGGAGGTCGAGCGTTTTCATATATGGCTCCTAAACTCTAGAAGTTAGCCTTTTAGACGGCGGATGTAACTCAGGCTTTTGTCCAAGTTCAGCAGGAAGCAGTTCTCCAGCTGTTAATTTCGATTTTACCAGTGAACTTTTGTTTTGGCTTTTATTTGAATTTAAATGCAAGAAACGCAGAACTATATACACAAAAAATTCAATCTATGCTGCATTTCAGAAATTTAAGAGCTAGAATTAAGAGCCCCAATTTTATCTTTATTACACTGGCTGCCTGTTAAGTTCCATGTTGATTTTAAAATATTCCTTCTTACCTATAAGGCTCTAAATAGTCTCGCTCCTGTTTATCTAACCAACCTTCTATCTCACCACAATCCAACCTGCTCTAAGATCTCAAAACGTAGGGCTTCTGGTAGTATGCAGTATAGCAAAGTCCACTAAAGGAGGTCGAGTGTTTTTATAAATGGCTCCTAAACTCTGAAATAACCACATTTAGTTTGTGGGTGTAACGCGCGCTTTTGTCCAGGTGCAGCAGAAGGCAGAAGAAGTTTGTTGTCAAAACTGACAGCTGGAGGGGCGTGGTTAAGTATGTTAACCACGCCCCTCCAGCTGTCAGTTTTGACAACAAACAGAAATGGTGAGCAGGAGGAGTCTGTTAGGTTGTAATAACTCTCCCCAAACCCTTTTCCTGATCTTTCTGAATGAAATGCCTACTTCACCACATCCAATCACCTCGCAGTGGAAAAAAACAAGCCACGCCCACTGTTTTCTCATCTAATGTTTCTCCAGGAACTGCGTCACAGTACAAAAAACACACTTTCGCAGCTTCATGCGGACTTTAAGATGTCAAAACTCAGGGTTTCTGGTAGTACACAAAATAGCAAAGTCCACTAAAGGAGGTCGAGTGTTTTCATATATGGCTCCTAACCTCTGCAACAACCACATTTAGACGGCGGATGCAACTCACGCTTTTGTCCAGATGCAGCAGGAGGCAGTTCTCTGGCTGGTGGAAGTCAAAGGCGCGTGGTGACGACTGACTGCCCTCCACCTTCACTCTCAGCTTCTTTGAGTCTCTTTCTGGCCAGAATGGAACAGCAGCCTGAACAGAAGAACTTAAAGTCACAATTCAAAGATTTAAAGTATTTATTTAATAAAGCGAGCTGTATATCCAGACCTGTCCGGGTCGGGCTTCTGTCCAGTTCTCCTGCCCCTCCTCACAGACCCGAATCACATGTTTGGTTCTGTTCACCAGCATGTAGAATGGCAGAAAAGTCACCAAACGTGTCAAGCTGAAGCTGCTAGCATCGATCTTCACTCCCACCTAACATTAAAAAGCAGGCAGCACATATTCAGGTAAAGTCAACAAGGTATTTTGATTCTGTAATTGGACATATTTCTAAGTGGAAAAAGAAGATTTTACTTTATTTTGATGGGTTGCAAGTACATGTCAACACTACACTAATCCTAATCCTACAGTCTACTAATACTCTAATGAGAATCAGTTGGTATGTAGCTGGATTGTAACTTAAAAACAATAATATCTGAATCTGAAATACATGAAGCATCGGCTTAGATTTGATCTATAGTGAATTGATCGGATTGTTAAAGTGGTCTTTGATCCAGAGTTATTTTACGCTTTAAGCATTTATTACATTTGGAATTGAGCATTTTCAGTTGTCATTGTAATTCAAAAGTTTTAGTAATTGCATTATTTGTATATAATTGGAAAACGTCGTTATATAAAATAAATAGTATCTTTAAAACAAATAGTCGTTTTGTACAGTAAACAAAAAATAATAAAAAATTATTTGAATTAGAGGGCGAGGCAGTGACGCAGTAGGTAGTGCTGTCGCCTCACAGCAAGGTCGCTCGTTCAAACCTCGGCTCAGTCGGCGTTTCTGTGTGGAGTTTGCATGTTCTCCCTGCTTTCGCGTGGGTTTCCTCCAGGTGCTCTGGTTTCCCCCACAGTCCAAGGACACGCGGTACAGGTGAATTGGGTAGGCTAAATTGTCCCTAGTGTATGAGTGTGTGTGTGAATGTGTGTGTGTTTCCCGGAGATGGGTTACGGCTGGAAGGGCATCCGCTGCGTAAAAACTTGCTGGATAAGTTGGCGGTTCATTCCGCTGTGGCGACCCCGGATTAATAAAGGGACTAAGCCGACAAGAAAATGAATGAAGGAATGATATATGAATTAGAATGTGGTTTTTAACCCAAAGGTGCAATAGTGAATGTTGTGATTTGTGCATTTTTTTGCTCATATTTAGTTGTGTATTCAGTTGTGTATTATTTGCATGTATGCAATCCAAATGATTAGTAATTGTATTTTCTGTATGTAAAAGGAAAGCATAGTTAAATTGAAGAAATACTATCTATCATTATTTACAGTTAAACAAATGACTACTTTTTAAATTATATATATTATCATTTTTTTCAATTAGTATTTTAACCCAAAGGTGCCATATTTAATGCTGTGATTTTAATTTTGCTCCAAAAATGTCCTAAAGTAAGCTATATTAAGCTAATATTTATTTTATTTAAAGAGCTTTCACCAAGTAATCCTTCTGTCTGCCTTTGCATTTGACATCTCCGTAACTCCCGACAGTGTCGATGGAGAAATCATCTGACAGCTCACTTTCTGAGATCATCAGGCGGATCTGAAAACAGAGCAGCGACACAATCACAAACAGCCATAAACAAGCAACGGAAACTTGACAACTTTCACACAGTCAAATCCTAATATTTAATTAATTTACTTGTATCATGTTGTTTATTATATTTTGCTTGGATATACAGTAGTCAACATTTAAAGTAGATCAAAAAGTTATTTTAGTTTATTATTGATATTATTTGAAGATTTAATACAGAAAAAAACTATTAAATTAAGTAATTAAATTAAGTAATTGAATTACTTTACATATTAATACATATCTACATATTTATATATATATATATTATTATTATTTGATGGTTTAGTCAGTTTTTATTTATGTAAATGTATTATTTTATTATTAGTATTATTATTGCTATTATTATTAACTGAACGTTTAATGAAGTAAAAAAAGCATTAATCAGGAAAACCCTCAGTAAAGGATTTTTATTTATTTATTTTAATTTATTTAATTATTAAAATTATTATTATTTAAAGATTTAATAACGAAAAAAATACATATATATATTATTTTGTTTGTAATATTTGGGTTGGAATTTGTTTTAAATAAATGTATTGTTTGTTTTTAATATTTTGCTTGGATTTAGTGTTAAATATGTTTAACAATGCAAGATGATAATGCCTGTTTATTATTTTGAAGATTTAATAAAGAAAAAAGTAGTAATCAGGAAAACCCTCAATAAAGGAAAACCCCTCAGTAATGTCGGTCAGCACTTTATAAAAATACTTTATTTATTTTAATAAAAATTTTAGACTATTTTGTTTGTAATATTGTGCTTGGAAACATATAATTTTATGTTTTATTCATTTTAATTAATATAACCTTTTTTGCACTATTTTGTATTTACTGTTTGTATCTAATATTATTTCACGTTTTATTTTTATTGATTTTTTTTTACTATTTTGTTTGTAATATTCTGCTTGTATACAGAGTTAAATATGTTTGACAATGCGAGATGACAATGTCTGTTTATTATTTGAAGGTTTAATAAGGAAAAATAAAGTATTAAAAACATGAAAACCAGAAAAAAAAACATGAAAAATAATGTATTATTTAAATTTTAATTACTACTATTAACTTTTATTATCATCATTGTTATTACTTTTATTACTATTATTTGAATGCTTAATAAAAAAAAAAGTGTAATTAGGAAAACCGTCAATAATGTCAGCCAGGATTTTAAAAATGTTTTATTTATTTAAATTAATTTATTCACTAAATTGTTTTGAATATTCTGCTTGAAAATGTTTCTTTTATTTATTTTAAATAATTATTTTACTACTTTGTTTATATATAATAATAAAAGTTTTATTTAACTTTATTATTTGTTTATTTTGTTTGTAATATTCCGGTTGGATATAGTGTTAAATATGTTTAACAATGCAATATGATAATGTCTGGCTATTATTTGAAGGTTTAAAAAAATAAAAAAAGCGATAAATCAGGAAGAACCTGTCAGCCGGAATTTAACAATTAAACAATTTATTTTAATTTATTATTTGTACTATTATTATTACTATTATTTGAATGTTTAATAAACAAACAAAAAAAAAGTTAACCAGAAAAAACCCTCACTAATGTCAGCCAGACAGAAAAAACAAAACTTTCTTCCAAACCTTGTTGTTTTGCAGGAAGTTGCGTGGCTTGAAGGAGAAGAGCAGCGGCATGTCGTAATCCTTGGGGTGTTTGCGATGAATATCATCCGCCTTGTACTGCAGCAGTCGGCTTGTTTTATTCACCATCCAGTACGGCGAGTGTACGGCCAGCACAACCTGACCCTCCTCCTTCTTCACATGCATAGCGATGTCCAGCTCCGGCCGGCTCTCAGTCTCCTCCTCACGTGCGAGCGAGCGAAACTTAATGAAGCTGATCTCGTCTTGTTCACTGCTGAGGCTGTACTGAGACTCCCAGTCCTGCTGCAAGTATCCCAGCAGCCTCAGATCCAACACGGAGAAGTCCATGATGGCGGTGTGGATCTGGGATGAGTGGCCCTCCTTCAGCGACACCGAGGGGGAATCTCCGATGCCCTGTCAACAAAACAAGATACTGTTAATGACTGTTACATGCAGAAGTTAACAATATTTCATGACAATCAAATATTAAAAACGTATGTAAAGGATAAATAAAGCACATCCAGAGGGTTGTTGTTACTGCAGATTATTTCACAGATGTCTGAGATATTAGATTCTGATTGGTGAGTGGTGACAATTCAAGGTATGCTATTGCCAGATAACAACCTCTAAATAACGCAGGCTCATCTGGGTTCTTCGAATCATCTTGACCGCCAGTAAATACGTTCACATTCATATAAACACATCCATATTTAAATGTATCTGCTTGTCTGTCATGCCGCATTTTTTGACTACTTATCGATATCTTGTGAATGAATAAAATGTAGGTTAGTTTATGCTTCATTCAACTTGTTTTGGTTTCTGTCACCTTTGTGTTTTTGACTAATTGGCGTCATCTTGTGTCTGAATAATGTGCAGGTTAGTGTATACTCCATCAGCTGTTTTCATTACTGTCAGCTTTGTGTTTTTGACTGTTTGGCGCCATCTTGTGTCTGAATAATGTGCAGGTTAGTGTATACTCCATCAGCTGTTTTCATTACTGTCAGCTTTGTGTTTTTGACTGTTTGGCGCCATCTTGTGTCTGAATAATGCGCAGGTTAGTGTATACTCCATCAGCTGTTTTCATTACTGTCAGCTTTGTGTTTTTGACTGTTTGGCGCCATCTTGTGTCTGAATAATGCGCAGGTTAGTGTATACTCCATCAGCTGTTTTCATTTCTGTCAGCTTTGTATTTTTGACTGTTTTGCTCCATCTTGTGTCTGAATATTGCGGAGGTTAGTGTATACTCCATCAGCTGTGTTCCTTTTAGTTAGCTTTGCATTTAATTAAAGAACGAATAAACTATCTCAGGATAATCTTTTGTGTCTAATTTGTATGTTTTGTGCCAAGCAGCTGTGTAATAAGTGGGATAAAGTACATCCAGAATGGTTGTTTTCACTGAATAACACTCTTCAGTCACTCAGCAGTGCTCTCCTTTGCATTGAGATGCTAGTCTGTCAGGCTTTATTCTGCGATAACAACCTCCTGAATGCATTTCATCCTAAATATAACATACTTTGGAATGTCCTGACTGACCAATCAGAATCAAGTCGTGCAATACTATAGCAGTAGGCATGTATAATGATTACAGAGGACAGCAACTTGACAGCCTTGATCACACCGAACGTGTTTAAGTCGAGTGGTGGCATTTTTTAATGGTTTTCTAATGGCTGCCAGTGTTTTGAGATATGCTTATGCACCCCTCCAGGCCCCTCGTTTTAACCACATGCTGTGCCTAGTGTTTTTGCCAGTGCGCTGAAAAAATATATAAATAAAAAATAAAAATAAATAAAAAATGAAATCTCGCTACGTCAGCTGCGTCTTCTTTATTCTCCGATCAAATGAAAGCAGATCCGGGTTTTCCATTGGTGTGACATCAGTATTTGTTTTGTCGAAACGACTACAGAGACTTTTAAAGACAGAGAAGAGACTAGCGGTCGCTGTTTTGAGTTATCGGAGCTGTAAGACTTCACAAATCGTGAATATCACAATATTACCAAATGTTACGATTGTAACAATATCAACAACAGCATTCAGTGGTTGCCTAGCAACATAAAAAGCGCAGCGCACTTCTTTTTTTCTCGTCAACAAAATAAGGCAGTGCGGTGCACCTCGTGTTCTCAGAATGAAACAGCTTGTTTGGTGTGATCAGCTCTTAACAGGCCAGAACACACACCTTTAGCTTGAAAGTAATTGGGTAGGGCAGCAGGTTGCGCAGCAGGACGGTGGGCCACAAATGCAGTACGATGGGCTTATCGAACTCCTCCTCGCTGCTGTGGGACGTCACTGTGTCCGCAAGAGGAACCATGTTGACCTTCAGAATCTGGGCGCTGTCACCACGCAGATGGCAGTTTTTCTCCAGACACTTTCCGGGTTTCTGGACAACCTCAGTGTAGGTGAAGCTCTCGGAGTGCTCGTACTCTTCACCGCCATCAGGCACAGGCTGCAGACTCAGCTCAGCTCTGAACAAACACACACACACACACATCACAATACATTAAGGGCATTCTGCTGTCTCTCTTAGACCACTTCAAGATTTTATCTGTGTCAAACTTTTTTAAAGTAGAATACACAACACCAATACTACTACTACTACTACTTATAAAAATAATAATGCACATTAAGAATATTTATGTATTAAGAATAAAAGTAAAACAAGACATAATACAGGAAAATGAAATAATGACATTAAATAACAATGTAATAGTGATTACGAATATTATTTTGTTTTTATTATTAATCATAGATAGCCCTAACTAAAACAGCAAGTCTAAATTATTAGCCCCCCTGTTTATTTTTTCCCCCCATTTCTGTTTAACGGAGAGCAGATTTTTTTTCAGCACATTTCTAAACATAATAGTTTTAGTAACTCATTTCTAATAACTGATTTATTTTATCTTTGTCATGATGACAGTAAATAATATTAGATTAGATATTCTTCAAGACACTAGTATTCAGCTTAAAGTGACATTTAAAGGCTAAACTAGGTTAATTAGGGTAACTAGGCGGGTTAGGGTAATTAGGCAAGTTATTGTATAACGATCGTTTGTTCTGTAGACAGTCAAGCAAAAAAGAAAGCTGCGTCCCAAATCGCATACTTATGCACTATTCTACACCATTTTGTAGTATAATAAGTGTAAGTAGTGTGTTCACACTGAAAACTCACTCAATAATAAGTGCACTTTAATTACCCGGATGATGCACTCATTCAGCCGATATAATGAAGTGTGTAATGATGGACACTTCACGCACTCAACGACCGCAGGTTTGCTTACGTAGCGGAAGGGGCGGAGCTATCGGACGCACATGTTAAATAACTTTATTTATTTTGGATGGTGAAAGTAAAATTCTCCTACGAGAGTGATTATAGCGCCTCCCGATGGTGATTGCGGCAATACTCAGGGCAGGTATTATTTAATAATTCGGCCGTTTATTTCACTGATTTGGCAAACGTCAAACGTCATCAGGGAAATGGTTTGAATTTCCGCTTAGTAAAAAAACATTAGTGTGCCACTTGGGACAACACTACATACTTATACTATCCTGTTGAGTGTGTAAGTGCATAAGAACATAGTGCATGAGTGTATAGTGTGCCATTTGGGACGCAGCTATAGCTTAAAGGGGCTAACAATTTTGTCTCTAAAATGGTGCTTAAAAAATTTAAAACTGCTTTTATTCTAGCCGAAATAAAACAAATAAGACTTTCTCCAGAAGAAAAAATATTATCAGACATACAGTGAAAATTTCCTGAATCTGTTAAACATCATTTGAAAAATATTTAAAAAAGAACAAAAAATTCGAAGGGGGGCTAATAATTCTGACTTCAATTGTATATGTATGTGTGTGTGTGTGTGTGCGATATTTAAATAATATGCTTTATAATATTACAAGTCCTAATAACAACAACATCAACAATTATTATTTATAAAGGAATTGAAATACTACTATAACTATTACAAATTATATTAATTTAAAACGAATTATATAATAATAATAAAAATAACAACAATAACACAATCTATTATTAATTGTATTATTATTAATATTACTTAATGAGAGGTGCATCATCTAGAAAGCAAAACCAAATTCTGCTGAACATCTGAACAAAGGCAGAGATATGGACAATGCTGTAAGAGACCTGTAGGATCCCAGCGGCACACAGAACTCCTCTGTCGGCAGAGACTCGCCCAGAAACACGGATCCTTCATAAACACGGAACGGCACTGAAAAGTGGTTGATAATCTAGAAAAACAACGGCAGCACAAACAATCACGGTCAATTATACAAAATAAAACATTTATTAAATATTACAGAAAACTTTGGCACGGGATTTCCTCTCAAAATCAGAGCAGAACATGTAGACAATGTCATCTAATGTCAACGTCAAAACATTTCTGCTCTGATTTTGAGAGAAATCGGAAGGTTTGAGTGTGTATGCATGATTGATGTGTGTGTGATACAGGTGTTCAACTTTATGTCCTAAATAAATCAAATATAACCAAATACATGTGTGTGTGTGTGAGTGAGTGTGTACATGTTTTTGTGACATATCAGGACACAAATCTGTATGACACGGGTGTTACAAGAAGGTGGTGAAATGTGAGGACATTGCTGACGAGTTTTTTTTACAGAGAGTAAAACTGTACAGTTTCCTGTGAGGGTTGGGTTTAGTAGGGTGGGGTTAGGGCAATAGAAAATACAGTTTGTACAGCATGAAAACAATGGAAACCTATGTAATGTCCTCACAATTCACAAAAACAAACGTGTGTGTGTGTGTTTTAGATGATGTTCACCTGGAAGGGAGAGCGAATCTTGACATATTTGCTGCCCTCGACGGTGTAAATCTGACAGACGAAGAAGCGAGTGACGCGGGACTCGTTGTGCATGACGCTGTACATGCCCCGGCCCGTTTTGATGAGCGGGATCACACTTGCGGTCGTGTGGCCGACTGGAGCTGAGCATAAGGAAAAGAAAACAACTGAAATCAGTGTTTAGAAATTTTGCAGAATTCCTCTTCAAAATTGAGAGAGGAAGGGGGAGAGAGAGAGATTTGAGTTTCATGGATCGCAACGCCGGCTCAGCATAGTGACGTCTATCGGCCATCGGTGATGGACGATGGCATCGTCTATCGACCCAACCCTAATGTGTTCTAAGGGTGTCACGATCCTCCAAATTCTCGATTCGATTACATTTTCAATTCTAAAGGCACGATTCGATTTTCGATTATGATCAATTAATTACTTAATGACCAATTAATTATTTGTAGCCTACCGTTTAAACTACCTGACCTGCATGGTCTTTGTTTTACCCATAAACAAATCATAGAGTAAATGAATAAAGGTAACACACATAATTACCACCTGTCAATCACTTTTGTCTTGTGAATAGGCAGTGATCTGTGTCGTTATAATGGCGTCGGTAAAAAAAGACGCACAACCAACAGGAACCAGCCAACAGTATCTGAGGTGTTCGCTAAAATGACAAAGTACAAGTGAGTGAAAGATTGAAGCAGTCCTCTGACTGCCTGAACCTGCTGTCTCGAGCGCAAGGCTGTGTGTGCGTCTGTGTCTGTGTGGTCACGTGATGTGCATTTTTAGCGGTAGAGAGGAAGGAGGGCTGCTCAGAAATGCTACACGCCACTGTGGATGTCAAATCGTTGTCGTTCTAAAATGCCATTTAAAAACAAAGACAGTGTAAACAGGGCCTGAGTGTGAACTTTTCGCGAGCGGATTTGCAACGGGGGCGGGCGGAGGATCGCGATGCCGGTGTTGTCTATCGGACGAACCCTAATACGTACATAGCAGAGCTTGCAAAACTGTGTTTTTTTGTCAACAACACGAACGTTGTCAACATAACTCACTGGAAATCCAAAATGCTTCCACACCGGCGACTTCATTGAAAGAGGAGAGGGTTTAAGTTCTGTCGACGGGTCTCCTGCTTCTGCAGTTTAACAAGCACTTCAACAAGCCTGTTTTTTACCTGCTTGGCAAGACAAGCTGACATGACATGGGGGCGTGGCATCATCGACGATTCTATTTTTTGATTCGATAATCGAAATTGAGCATAAATTTCGATCGATTACGATTTTGTGACACCCCTAATGTGTACTGTGCATATGTAAATTTGTAAATTTTAAATTTATGTATATTTACTTTGTAAATATATGTAAGCATGCGCAGTTTGGATGCGCAGTAACAAACTTTTGTGATCTCACAGGGGGCTGAAGTATTTTTTTGTAGTCCCCAAAATTCGCTCATTGTAGGCTTTGCTAAGCTAACTCTGTAAAAACCAAGGTCTCCCTTTGCATTGAACTTAGAACTTATTACATTCAGAGATGCTGTTTATGTTCACACAGCTACATTACACATCAACTAAAGTTTACCATATGATATCATAGTGGACCACCCCTTTAACAACCACAGAGAGTCAGGACCTCGGTTTAACATCTCATCTGAAAGACGGCTTTAAATATATATCACTTTAAATACCCTTATTTCTCTTTATTTTTACGAGTGCGTGAGCAAATCTGTGAGCTGCAGTCTTACTGGGCTGTATGTAGTTTTTGGCACTGAGGCTGGTCATGGCAGAGAACTGGTCGCTGGACTCGGCGGTGAGGGTATAGTCCAAATTCAGACTCTCTCCATCCGGGAGCTCCACCACACGATCCTTAGACTCCTTCCCGATGGGTCGAAACACTTCGCTGTGCAGCACAGACACCGCCAAACCCAGGCGATTCTTCACCACGAATGGTGTCTGATCTGTCTGAAAGCACTCGGCCGTCTGTTTAGCGGCCTCTGCAAAAGCCTGCAAAGCAAATAATAAATAAAGTCATATCCGTTCATTCTTAAACAGAAAGACATCATTTAAAAAAAAATCATTTGGTCTCACTTTATGAATTTAGTTTGTCAAAATTAATTTGGTCTCACGTGTTGTTTTTTACAATGAAAACGTAAGTAACATAGTTAACAATGTAAACAATAGGTCTCCGGAAGAAATGCTGACGTAAACATGAATAACCATCCATAATTCAACACTATTGTGTCGTTGAACTCAAATGAAATGTCCACCCTGGTTTCATCTTCATCCTCCTGCTAATGCAGATGTTGGACTGAAGCAGATGATATTCATTTACACTGAGGAAGGGCGGAGGCTTGCTGAAGAACTACTGAGAGATTTCAGCTGCTGTCTGGGCTTTCACTGCCCAGTTACCCCTCCCTTTCTTCATGTGTTCATTTCTTTTTCCCCCGTGTCATTTCATTTTTTTGTGCGTAACTTCATTTGTAAACTAATTAGATTTGTTTTCTTTGCATTTATGGATTTCTTTGGTTGTTACGGTCCCACTTTATATTAAGTGGCCTTAAAAATATGTACTTACACAGGCATTAATAGCTTGTTACAATGTACTTATTGTGTAAATACATGTATTTACTGTGTACTTATGCTTGATTAAATACCTGTATGCAATTACATCTGTAATTAACTTCTGTAATTACATTTGTAAATACACTGCTGACCATTCCCTACACCTTAACCCACACTTAAACCTACCCATGCCTGTCCATAACCCAACCTCTATTCCAACTCAAAAGCACCACAAGTGTTCTCAAATACATTATAAACACAGTAAGTACATTGTATTAATTTTTTGATGTAAGTACATAGTAGTTAAGGACACTTAATATAAAGTGGGACCGTTGTTACTAACATCTGGTGGAAATTTAAAGTCAACGGCACCTTTAGAAAGATAATTTCTGAGAAAAATGCGGACGACTTCAATACTTATTTTCCCTGTTTTATTTAGAAAATAAAGCAATCAATAAAACTACTAGCATAATATTATTAGGCCAAATTGTACAGGTATGTTTTTAAAATTGATATAAATATAGATAGTGATGGTGCCATTCTAATCTCATGGTTAAGAAGTAAACACTTTCTGTGTTCCCTTTATGTATATACCTACCGTTCCCAGATTACTGAGCATGTGCAGACCACACTTGGACAGGGTGACGTTAAGCTGGTCTTTACTAGTGAAGCTGATGACCGTTTTATAATCAGGCACAGCGCCGTCCACCTCATCAGACACCCCAGAACTGACCACCGGCTTCTTCTTCATCTGCGGAGATAACATGATTTATCATATGAATGAAGTGCTGCTTGATGATGGAAAATTAATCTAATTATTTTAGTCAATATCGCAATCATGTTTATTTAAAACGATTATTTTTGAGGATAGAATTTATAGCTGTGCTACGTTTGGTTTAGAGATTGAAATGTTTGATGTCTTACGGATTCTTTATATTTGATAGTGCATCTCTCTCTGACTGATGAAGTTTAATTATTATGATTTACACACTTTAAAAAACAGCCGGCAGCTAGCTCTCTGCAACTCTCACATGGTCGCCCACTGAAGCTAAGCAGGGCTGCGCCCGGTCAGTACCTGGATGGGAGACCACATGGGAAAGCTAGGTTGCTGCCGGAAGTGGTGTTAGTGAGGCCAGCAGGGGGCGCCCAACCTGCGGTCTGTGTGGGTCCTAATGCCCCAGTATAGTGACGGGGACGCTATACTGCTCAGTGAGCGCCGTCTTTCGGATGAGACGTTAAACCTTGGTCCCGACTCTCTGTGGTCGTTAAAAATCCCAGGATGTCCTTCGAAAAGCTTTGAGTGCCCAGAAAAGCGCTATATAAATGTAAGGAATTATTATTATTATTATTATTATCCATACATTTAAAGGGGGCCTATTATGCAAAAGTCGCATTTAGAATGAGTTTAAACACAGTTGTGTGGCAGCAGTGTGTGAATATAGCCAGTCTCTAATGGTAAAAGTTTATTTAGTTTATTATCACACTTGATTAAAACAGTCTGCAGAAACACTTTGACTGACATCTCCCTTTGTACGTGTTATCAGAAGGAAAAGCCCCGCCCACTAGAGACCATCTGTCCCTCATTAGCATAGACAGCCCTGAGTGAGAAGCAGCTGTCCGCCAGTAGAGTTTTGAATCTGCTGCTATGCTGACACAATGTGTTTGCAGCTCCGCCCTCTTTTGAAAAGAGCACAATCTCATTTGAATTTAAAGAGACAGGCACCTAAACACCACAAATAGGATCAAAGTCTAAAAGGGTCAGTTTCAGAGTGTTATACAACATTATTTGAGTGTCATTTTGAGCTGAAACTTAATACATAACCGAATACATAATTGGTCCTTTAATCCACTTAAATAAATCAAGCACACCCAATGCTACAAAAGTCTACATTGGGAAATTGGGAACGAATGCAAGGATATGACACAATAATCAATAATCATTGTCATCATCTCAATTATTGTTTTTTTCATTATTGTTGGAGGGCAATAATTTTAATTGAAATTTGATTAATTGCACAGTCCTACATGAACGCCGTGTCAGTATGAGATTATGCATGAATGAAAGCTAACCTTCAGTGCGAGAGTCCAGGGTCTAAAACCGTCTTTATCCTCATCGTCCAGCGGCTCCAACAGCGGCTCCCATAAACCCATCATCTCATTATAGTAGTTCACCTACAGCAAACAAACCGCCTATTATTAGACAGTACATCTAATGTATGTCACATTTGATTATTCAAATTCTGTACCTGAAAACTATTAAGACTTCACCAGAAGACCCTTTACTTCACTTTTATATTTACTCCCCAACAAAACCACCTAAGTCAAACTAAACCAGGGGTGTCAAACTTTTCTGCACAGTTTAGTTCCAACCCTGCTTTAACACACTTGCCTGCAGGTTTCAAACAAGCCTGAAGGACTCAATTAGTTTGATCAGTTGTGTTTAATTAGGGCTGGAACTAGGGCTAGGCAAAAAAAAAAAAAAAATCTAGGCTTTTTATAAAGTTCGACCGATTGACGATTTCGATTTTTTTTATTGTGTTACTAGTCTTCTCAAAACATTACAGCAACATGACTGAAGTAACATTCTCTTTATAAGTAACTTGAAAAACCATCTGGTTTAGGAACATTGTATTTTTAATGGCCATGCCATACATAAATTGGTCAACAAGGTGTAAATAAATGTAAAACAAATTCACGAGTTAAATATCGTTGCAGAAGATTTGAATATGAAATATTTGTGTAAATATTGCAGTTGCAGGAATACAGAGGTATTTTTTGCAAGTTTTGCTGAGCCTAGGAAAGATTGGCTGTCAGCTCGGCTTTGACTTTGTCTTCTGATTGAATGACAGGTTGTAATGCTGCTTAGTTACAGTAGAAGTAAAGGACTGAACATGGAAACTGTAAAGCCTAATTTAACCCAATGCGTGAAGTTGTGGACGTATAGCAGGAGCAAATACAAGCACCAGATGTGTGTCTAATATAAAATAATATATTTATTCCATTTTTCTTTTTTCCCCCTTTTAAATATCGATCATTTGATGGGCTTTGCACCACTCTCTGTATTATGCTGCCTGACTGCATGTCTGAGTTTCAAGTGCTCTGTGGCGCGGCTGAAATATGAACTGCGCGTCGCCGAGCGCCGCTTCTGGTGTGCGACCTGCTTTATACAGAGAGTGACCCAAAGCGCATTGGTGCAATTATGATGCATCTAATATTTTTATTTAAAAAAATTGCGATATCTCGATTTAATATGAAAGGAAATCGTCTTAAAACGTAAATTCGAATTAATCGAAAAAAAACCTAAAAAAAATAACAAAAATTTGCCCAGCCCTAGCTAAAACTAAACTGCAGAGCTGCGGCCTTCCAGGAACTGAGTTTGACACCTGTGATCTAAACTAATGAATTCTTTTCAAATAGAGTTATTCAGTAGTGGTGTGACGATAACTGCATCACCACATCACCGCCATAATGAGATGTCAACCAAGGTGAGTGTGGTTATTATTGCATCACCACCCATTTTAAGTTTATTTACTTATATTTGCTCAAGAAACTTTCAGGGCTATATAGACAAGCAGAATAAACTAAATAAAGAGAATAAAAAGCCTGCCCTAAATATTTTCCACTTATCCTACAAATTTAGATTTCAAAACCAAAACCCTGACAGACTTTTTAATAAACGGCATAGATTGTTTTTCAAACTAAGTTCTTGTGTCTTCCTTCAAATAAACACAGCAGGCCTACTAACTTAATAAGCTCTGCTGTAATTCCTTTATCACAAACCTCTATCAACAGTTTTAATACCATTATTTTAAACATTTTAGAGAAGAGAAGCGGGGGCACTTTAATTTTCTCTGTCTCACTCTCGATGAGTTCAGGTGACGGAATGTCTTGAATTAGTTAAACTGTCCTCAATAGACCAAAGTCATTCTTTCATTTAATTTTGGAGAACGTCACACTGAGACCTTCCTCTCCATATTCAGTCATCACCTTTATTTTTAATGTATGCGAGTGCAGTAAAGGGGTCAGAAAGTTTAACCTGGTGCCTTAAAATCAATCTACTGCATCTGACGCGATTGCTGTGGCTTCATAAAACACTATTGAAAGTGTTTAAAATATATGTATATTTTGTCTGTGTTATAATAAACACCTAAAAAAAGAGCAGCTTTTTTTTTTTTTATAAACTCAAATTTGAAAGTGTACCTTTTAGGTTGTGTGTGGTCTAGCGTGCTTTAATTAATGTTGGTGGTTCCTGCACATGTCTGTAATCATAGGAAAAAAATAAAAATGTCTCCACCATAATCTATGCTAAAGTTATTGTATTCCAACTGATGAGAGGTGCTGTACAAGCCACAGGGAGCGATCATTGTTTTCACATTTCACTATTGTTTTGTTTGATCAAACATAATTCACTGTGTTTGGACCACATCAGACATATAAAAGGATTACTTATGCACATCACCTCAAAAACAGAGGAGAATGGCCCTAAAGCGCACAGCATAAGGTAAGAGATGACAGCTGTCTGTGCTATCTGGGGCTGCTTATTGATCATAAATGTATTGTTTACATTTCTGCGCCAATATGAAAATGAACCAATGTTCTAAACCCAGCTCGGGTATCCAAAATACTTTGTTTATAAGTTTAAATTACTTTTATACAGTAGAATAAAAACCAAAGTGATGCATATGTGCATAACATATAGATTCTACACTTTCAGACGACACCACTTACGGGGGTCTGGTGCAAAGCTAGCCCTTTAAATCTGAAAGCGAAAGTCGATAACGTCACGGACCCGGTATTTTAAGTGGTTAACTCATCATTTTGAAAACAAAACATGGCACAATGTCAGACAACATCATGCAGCTGTACTCTGACCTCCATGCTGAGGTGGCAGTGCAGGTTGATGAGAGTGCTCCAGTCCTTGACGTCCCCCTGGAACGAGGCTTTGGCCAGCAGCATGGGGACGGTGCGGTGTCCCACTCCGGCCTCCAGCGTCAGGCAGATGGAGGCGATGCTCATCTTCAGAGACTCTCCCTGAGGAATGAGACGCGTGACGGACGTGCTGACCTCCTCGCCCTCCTCCTCCAGGAACCAGAGCTTCAGGTCGCGAAGGCTGCGGCGCTCCCATAGGTCCTGTGGGATGGGGCTCTCCAGCTCCTGCGGCGTCTCAGCGGCAGGACTTAGAGCCGTCTGAATGGTGATGACCGTGTTTATGATGATCGGAGACACCTTTGGGGAAACAAGGCGGTGGTTAGTAGCTCCAGTTTTAAAGTTTTATTCACTTTTACAGCATTGTTCCCTAAAGCAGGGGTTCTCAAACTTTTCAACCCACAACTTCCCACAATAACAATGCCAGTGACTCGCGACCCAATATCCTCTGAGGTGGTTATAAATATACAAACCTGTAATGCAACAGTGCACACACACCAGTGGGCCCAAGTCTTTTTAAAATTTGTTTCATTTATTTATTTATTAAATTTATTTATTATCAGTCAATAGGGCGAAAACAGACCGCAACATAATGAAAGGGGAGTCAATTTGAACAGTACACAAGGGTTAAGATCTGAAGAGGACAGCAGTATTATATACACTTAATACACTTGATTGAACATGTACACAAGCATCAGCTGTATACTACATAACTGCAGGATTATGTTAGTGGTGATTTCACCTTGAGCGTGAGTGCGCTGATGGACAGCTCGATGCACTGCGGCTCAGTGTTTGACTGTCGGCTCTGGAAGAAAACCTCGCAGGGCTGTAGGACCGTCGTCACGTTGTTCTCCCTCTTCTCCCGCAGGAACGGACAGGCCACAATCTTCAGGTCTGAAATGGCGGCCGTCATGCACTGACCGCTGGGCTCGCTCTTCATCACCAGCTCACACTGAGTGGTCATGACCAGAGCCGGAGCTTCAGCACGCGTCAGATCCGCCACAAACACGATCTCTGGGTTCTTCACCACCACATTCATCTCGGTTTTAGCAACCACTGGTGGAGCAGGAGCCGCTAGAAGAGGAATAACACAAATCATACAGCTATTATTGCTATCAACGTTATTTAAACATTACTATAAATACAAAAACAACACTAGTACTGTATAATAGTGAAGTAATATAATTCATAATTAATAACTGGTTTGACTTTTTACTTAATTTTTTATTATTTAAATAACAAACTCATTTTATTCTCCTACCTTAATATAATAATAATAATAATAATAATAATAATAATAATAAAATAATAATAATAATAATAAATATAGCAAGGTGAAGCAGTGGCGCAGAAGGTAGTGCTGTCGCCTCACAGCAAGAAGGTCGCTGGTTCAAACCTCGGCTCAGTTGGCGTTTCTGTGTGGAGTTTGCATGTTCTCTCTGCCTTCGCGTGGGTTTCCTCCGGGTGCTCCGTTTCCCCCACAGTCCAAAGACATGCGGTACAGGTGAATTGGGTAGGCTAAATTGTCCGTAGTGTATGAGTGTGTGTGTGAATGTGTGTGTGAATGTTTCCCAGAGATGGGTTGCGGCTGGAAGGGCATCCGCTGCGTAAAAACTTGCTGGATAAGTTGGCTGGTTATTGCGCTGTGGCGACCCTAGATTAATTAAGGGACTAAGCCGACTAGAAATGAATGAATAAATATAGCTGCAAGCAGCATTTATCGGGGGCCAAGCATTTCAGCAGCCACAGAGCAACTGGAAATTTATAGAACTTTTTGGCAGCATGGTCTGAACCAAATTTGGTAGAAATTGGGCAAACGAGCGTTACATCAAGTTTGCGCATATGCTAAATGACAACAGTTTAGTCTATCAACATGAATGCCATAACTTTTGCTCTACATGCTCTTAAGATGATCTGAGTCAAAGTTAAAAAAAAAAAAAAAAAGAGAATGGTTAATGATTATTGCATAATTGGTATCCGTGTAGTCGGCTTGACCCAAAGAATAATTTAAGACAAATTTCATAAAAATAAGTATGCTCCACCGGATGTAAAGAGACCAATTTTATGAATTTTGAAAAAAGGGTTCAGAAGTTATAAGCAAAAAAAGCCATTTTTTCACTTCCGACCAAGGGGCAGTGCACTGCTGCTCACTTCAGACCATGATTGTGATAACACACACCAAGTTCCTAGTACACCACCAAGGTGTAAATACATCAATGCGTTATGGAGATAACCCCTTAAGTCAATTTTTGCAAACTCTACATTAAATTTGTTTGCAAGGTAATTGAAAACAGTTGGTTTAATCAATTCTAATTCAATAACTTTTGGTCAGAATTGTCCGTAGACCATGTGATTACATTTGGGTAAAAATCTAAAAAAACGGCCAAGGATGAGTTTGTTCAAACTGGTTTTACGAAAAACTTTCATGACGGAAAATGATGTCATAGGGAGCGTTTGAATTCAGAGGAGTAAATTAGGAGAATTTTAATTGTAGCCCATTCAGTTCAAACATTATAAAGATAGAGATAAGTGAATTTTTGGACAAGTGGTGGCATTAGAGAGTTTGAGTTAAAGAGTGCAAATTTGTTATGGTTGACGATCAGTTTGCCACAGCCGGAAGAATAATAATAAAAACCAGAACAGAGGCAATCATCATGATCATTAGTAAAGCTACAATAATCTATATTAGTTTTAATAAAATATGAAAACACAAACCATATTTATGAAATGTATTACATATTACACAATAAATTATGTTGTATTTTAATACAATTTTTACCACAATTACCATAAGTTAAAGTAAAAGAGTAGAATAAAAATTAGGAATACAATAATGTACTTTGTAATAATTATTATTAATTGATTGATTCATATTATCATCATCATCATATTATTATTATTATTATTATTATTGAGTATAAAGTCGTTATTATAAATCTGTTATATTACTATAAATACACATTATTTGTAATAATCACAATTTAAAAATATTTAACGTCATTAAAAGTTACTATAATAATAATTATAATGACAATAACAACAATGTGCCATCATCAATACATCATCTTATTAATTCATTAATGATGTTAATATTATTTATTTATCCTTCAATAATTAATCTGCAATTACTAAATACCATTTAATATTAAAATAATGTAACTATTTACCTAATTACTCAATAGTAATACTATATTAGGGTTTATATAGTTATTACATAATAGTTTACTAAATGAAAATGAGGAAAGTTGTTTGTCCGCTAGCTTAAATATTTTGATTGTATTTTTTTTTATTATAAAAAATTATATTTATTTAATTTCAAGTAATGCAAATGTTAATGATTTTGATGAACAATAATAACCAAGAAAACACAACAATAAAAAAAGAGTGTATAACATTTGAAGAAGACCTGTTTTCTGCAAGGTGGCAGAGAGTCACTCACCTGGGTCTTTAGAGGTGCTGGCCGGTTGTTTGTTACTCTTTGGAGGACCGGAGAAGCCGTCAGACAGAGCTTTAAGAAACACATCAGCTACAGTGAGCAGAAACTCCATACTGGCACAAAGATAAAGGTCTTGCACGAGGGTGTCCAGACGAGTCCCGTCCCGACTCTGGCGGTAGCTGACGTCCACCATCACACTGTCCTCTCGGTCCTGACGCATCGCCATCATCCTGAAACAGGACAACATTAACTCAGTTAATGAGCATTTATTAACCCAATACTATGCAACATTCATTCAATTTCCTTCAGCTGAGTCCCTTATTTATCAGGGGTCGCCACAGTAGAATGAACCGCCAACTATTCCAGTATATGTTTTACACAGTGGATGCTCTTCCAAGTGCAAACGAGTATTGGGAAACACCCGTATACACCCTCATTCACACACACACTCATACACTACGGCCAATTTAGTGCATCCAATTCACTTATACTGCACGAGTTTGGACTGTGGGGGAAACCGGAGCACCCGGAGGAAACCCACGATATCATTAGGAGAACATGCAAACTCCACACAGAAACACCAACTGACCCAGCCTGGACTCAATCAACTATTAAGTTGTTTCAAAATGCAATAGTTCTAGGCTGTCTCCAGATTTTTAAGTAAGAAATATAATTATTAGTATCAGTTTAAAATATTATTATTAGTATGGTAGTATAATTTTTCTGTGATCTACCTGGATGTAATCATCTTCACTCCCTGCCTCTTGTCATCCAGCAGACAGTTGGTGAGTTTGAGCGAGGCCTTCATGGAGCTGTCGGAGAACATGTGCACACTGGTGGAGATGGTGCCCAGTGTGAACTCGGCCAACTTCAAACTCTCATCACGAGAGTCGGACAACTGGATCTACACATAAACGGATCCCACAGACCAAAGCAGAACAACAAACATTAGCTTCGCATGTAAACATCACACCTACGACTACAGTCAGAATTATTTGTCCTCATGTACATTTCTATTTCTGTTTAAAATATTTGGAAAATGATGTTGAACAGATTCAGGAATTTCTCACAGTATTTCCTATAATATTTTTTCTTCAGGGGAAAGTCTTATTTGATTTATTTTGGCTAGAATAAAAGCAGTTCTTAATTTTTTAAAGCCATTTTAAGGTCAATATTATTAGCCCCCTTAAACAATATTTGTTTTGGATTTGGAGTGGCCTAATTACCCTAACTTTAACCTAACTAAGCCTTTAAATGTCACTTTAAGCTGAATACAGTGCTTCCCACACATAGACTTTACTTGGTATACAAGTATATTTGGTGGTGACACATAAATAATACTATTATTTTATTCCTTTTAGACTTTTTTATATCCGTCCAAGAAAGCACAACATTCGCGATTGATTAACCAGTGGAAAATCTTCTCTCGCTCTGCTCTGCACATTTCCTACTGCTGATTCTGTGTGCGCAAGAAGCGTAAACACTCACACATGCTCTCACGTGCTCTACAGACCCACAGAGATGGGCCGATTGCGGCAAAATGCATCCGACCGTAGTTTCTGAACGTCCTAAAATATCTGAGAATCTGGTTTTACTTTCGCTTGCTAAAGTTGCTGTTATTTGTATGCGTTTTTGCATTACCTTTTCATAGCTGACTGCGCGCACAGCCGCGAGAGAAACATTATATGATTAATCATTTAATAAACGACTACTATAAATTTTACTATATATATATATATATATATATATATATATATATATATATATATATATATATATATATATATATATATATATATATATATATATAAATATATACACACACTCGGAGAGAACAAAATATACTGGCTGCAAAATATTTGTACACCATTAGAATTGGCTAAATCAACTAATTTGCCTTATTTAAATAATCTACACTTTTTATTCCAGTAATTATTACAATTTTGAGCAATAATGTCTATTTATATTCAATTTTTCTGTTATTTATTTCTCATTTGCTGTGTATTTTATTAATTTAATGATTTTAATATATTGCATACTTTACTACATATCTAAAATGCTTTGACAACACTGTAAATGTCATTTCAAGAAAGCAACTTTAGAGAGAGAGAGAGAGAGAGAGAGAGAGAGAGATACTGATTGTTATTGCTGTTATTACTGTTTTATCCTAAAATGTTGATTGTTAAATGTAGTTTATTCTGATCTATTCTTCTTTTTATTGATATAAATAAATATGATATGAAATATATATTGAATAATAATAATATGATATATTGAATAATATGATATATTACTTATATTTTTATTGAATTATTATATGTATATATCATTTTTTTGTAACTACTACTACTACTACTGTTTACTGTGTTTTTATTAAATATGTATGTTCTTTTAATTTTATGTAAACTTTATAAATGCTTTGGCTATACATTTGTAACATTTGTCATGCCAATAAAGCAAAGATTGAATTGAATTGTTAATTGTTAAGTGTACAGTTTATTCTGATTTATTATTATTTTTATTGTTACAAATTAATAATATGATATGAATAGTATATATGTTGAATAGTAATATATATTGAATAATAATGTGATATATTGAAGAATATTATAATATATTGAATAATATGATGTATTGTTGATATTTTATTTAATTATTATATATAAATATTTTTTTTTTACTACTATTTACTGCGTTTACTGTTTTTTTGTTTTTATTATATATGCATGTTGCTTTTTATGTAAACTTTAGAAATGCTTTGGCAATACATTTGTCATGCCAATAAAGCAACTATTGAATTACTATTTAACTATTGAAAAAAATATTCTCTCTGTTAAACAGATATCGGGGGAATAAGTATACAACAGTTATTTTATAGTTGTATGTTTTACTGCTGACTTGAGTGCTTTTTGTCACCTCGCTGTTCGGGCTGTAGAGGACCAGCGTCATGGAGTCAAACTTGAAGTTCAGTTTTAGGGTGTTCTTCAGTTTGCCTGATTTCTGACCCTCCACCACTGCTGCGGTCACAACGGTGTTGCCTACGACAAAATAAAGACGTGCTGTTTGAGAAAATCAATGCAAAACTTTGAAAAAAAACATTGAAATGCTTAATAAACCTTCAATTAGTTTTACTTGTATGTTTTATTTACTTGAAAAATGGTAGAAACCATTAACTTGCATCTGATGAATCCCCAAGAACCACGGTTTCATGTTAAAGAAAATCTCTAAGGCTTTAATGAAGGGAAAAATAAGTAAACTGCATCTTGGTTTGATGACAACAATTTTATATTTTTGGGTGAACTACGCCTTTAATGTTTAAAAAGCAGGATAAAAATTATAAACGAACATGCAAAACAAGGACAAACAGTTGAAGTCAGAAGTATTAGCCCCCTTTAAATTGTTTCCCACAATTTCTGTTTAACAGAAAGAAGATTTTATCCAACACATTTCTAAACACAATAGATTGTTTTTAAATTGACAGCTTCTGCTGGTTGCATTTCCAAAATTTTTTCCTGCCAATCTTAAGCCAATTGTAATCTTTTGTTCTGGTATAATTTGGAGTTTCCACAACCATAGCAGAGTGAGCACTCCAGCTTGCCCCCACCCTGATCTAAACATAATAGTTTCAGGGTGTTTTCACACCTGTGAATCGATTCAGTTGTTCCGAAACAGAGATTACAATTGTTACATTGTTGCTCTTTGCTCTTGGAGCGGTTCGCTTTCACACTGCAAAGTTTCTAATCGGACCAAAAGAGCAAAAACAAGTCACGTGCGAGTAAACTCTCCTCACATTGGTCAGAGTGTCAGGGTTTATTTTGCAGCGTCCCGCTCAGCTGTCAGGAGAGGTGGTGGTTTGGTGGTGATTGACAGGGTGTGCGCGCGCGACGTGTCTGAGGAGAGATGCGGTGGGGAGGGGTGAGAAGGGTGCGCGACGATGCCTATTGAAGGACCGGGAGGGAGACCCGAGATTACCGGGAGATCATCACTCGTTTGCGGGCATCCGGAGACTCACGAAACTTCCCGCCCTACTCATAATTCTCTCTTCATATAGCCGTAAGCCTGTTACATATCCATAAAACACTGTGATATAACCGCGCTCGGATCGGATCGCTTTCTCACTGTAATCGGACCGCTCCAGGGTTCGTTTCAATCGAGCCGAGACCACCTCATTCAAGCGATCTCCGAGCGATTACTTTGGCGCGGAACAGAGCGCGATTGCCCTGTTCACATATGCCAAACGAACCGCGCTAACTGGGCAAACGAGACACGTTCCCAAACAAAAGTGTAGGTGTGAAAGCACCCTCAATAACTCATTTCTAATAACCGTTTTCTTTTCTCTTTACCATGATGATGGTAAATAATATTAGACTGGATATTCTTCAAGACGTTAGTTTTCAGCTTAAAGTGACATTTAAAGGCTTAACTAGGGTAATTAGGGTAAAGTTAGGGTAATTAACAGTGGTTTGTTCTGTAGACAATCCAAAACAAATATCGCTGAAGGTGGCTAATAATATTGACCTTAAAATGGCTTTAAATAAATTAAGAACTGCTTTTATTCTAGCCGAAATAAAACAAGTAAGACTTTCTCCAGAAGAACATTATAATATGTTATAGGAAATGCTGTAAAAAATTCTCAGTTAATGCTCTGTTAAACATCATTTGGGAATTTTATTTAATTTTTTTTAAATCACGGGAGGGCGAATAATTTTGACTTCAACTGTATATACAGTAGTATAGTTCAAACAGCCAACACGGTAGACTTGAATCTGTGCATTTCTGATACCTCCAGAACCCTGGGAGCCTTTGTTAGAAACCGTATCTCCTTTATCAGAGCTGGACGGAGCTGGAGGAGCATCAGACGTCTCGGACAGATTCTCACTCAGAGTCTTCAGCACCACAGTCAGATCCTCCTGACTCAAGATCAGCTATAATATAACAGACATTAACGTTAGCTGCAATATCCCACTATGATCACTTACAGAAACGTGCACAAGCACTTACGCTCATGGGCTTGAGGTGAGCATTGATCTGGATGTCGGGTATGCTGTGATACCAGGAGGCGGAGAGATTGCGTTTGATTGACAGGTCCATGTTGACTGGCTTGAGCAACTGAATCTCGCTGTTAAACTTGTCATCAGTGAACGTTGTCCTGAGGAAAATACAAGCATAGTGGAAACATTACCAATTGAGCGGCATGGTGGCTCAGTGGCTCGCACCGTCCCCTCACAGCAAGAAGGTCGCTGGTTCAAGTCCAGGCTGGGCCAGTTGGCATTTCTGTGTGGAGTTTGTATGTTCTCCCCATATTGTCGTGGGCTTCCTCCGGGTGCTCTGGTTTCCCCCACAGCCCAAACACATGCTCTGTGGGTGAATTGAATGAACTAAATTTGCCTTAGTGTAAGAGTGTGTGTGAGTGTATGGGTGTTTCCCAGTACTAGGTTGTGGCTGCATAAAACATATGCTGGAGTAGTAGGCGGTTCATTCCGCTGTGGCGACCCCTGATAAATAAGTGACTAAGCTGAATGTAATACTCTACTAACCTGTACATTTTCAGATCACTCAATCCGACAGCCATGATGTCCATGACAGGAGGGATCTTGGTGTGTGTTGGAGAGGAGACGATCTCAAAGCGGTTCTTTACAGTCACTAAACCCAGATCTGCCACAATGACGTTGTGGGAAACTGAGGATTGTGGGAGGAAGACAACAGGAGCTTTGATGTCGACGTCCAGGGAGATCCGAGTACTTCTCTCTGCCAGCTCCAGAACCCCCGTGGCTGCTTTCTCTGCTGCCTGGGCCGTCACCTCCGCCAATGCATTTTTAGCCTCCTGGAAATTATTAATAAATGCCTGACAAGGAAAGATAAAGAGAGCAGGAGAGAGACCATTAGGCTAAAAAATACTGAAAAAAAAAACATACATACACATATTAACAAAGCATTTACTTCTATTTCTGTAACTGTAGGGTGCTCCCCAGGGCTCAGTTCTAGGCCCTCTCCAATTTTATAATAATAAATATTACTAGTAGAATCAGTTTAAATGTTATTATGAAACATATTGTTATTATTATGATTCAACATCTTCATTCATTCATTTTCTTGTCGGCTTAGTCCCTTTATTAATCCGGGGTCCCCACAGTGGAATGAACCGCCAACTTATCCAGCAAGTTTTTACGCAGCCGCAACCCATCTCTGGGAAACATCCCCACACACATTCACACACACACTCATACACTACGGACAATTTAGCCTACTCAATTCACCTGTACCGCATGTCTTTGGACTGTGGGGGAAACCGGAGCACCCGGAGGAAACCCACGCGAAGGCAGGGAGAACATGCAAACTCCACACAGAAACGCCAACTGAGCCGAGGTTCGAACCAGCGAACCAGCGACCCAGCGACGTTCTTGCTGTGAGGCGACAGCACTACCTACTGCGCCACTGCCTCGCCCTGATTCAACATCTTGCTAATTATTATAAGTACGAGTAGTAGCAGTAGTAGTAGTTTTATCAGTTTTTGTGCTATCTACCTGGATGTGATCATCTTTACTTTCTACGTCTTATAATCAATTTAATATCACTTGTTAGAGCTACCTACTCCCATACAAAGAATCACCTGTTCGATTCAAGCTCCGACTGGATTGGGTGCAGTAGGACTTGTGGATATGAGGTTTAGGGGGGGGTGAGTGTAACGGAAGCCATCTAGCAACATGCTATGCAGGTAAACCTCACTCCTCTGATCTGCAAATGTGCTCTAGTGACAGACACTAGAGGCCATGGTCTTAAGCCTCCTTGTAAGATTCATCCAAAGAATCGCCGGTTCAATCCAAGCTCAAACTGGGTTGGGTGCAGTGAGACTAGTGGGTAACACCTGGGGGCTCGTCCGGGATGGAAAGAGGTTTAGCGGGGGTGAGTGTTACGGCAGCCAGCTAGCGAAGTGCTATGTGGGTAAACCTCATTCCTCTGACCTCTAAATGTGGTCTAGCAACAGACGCTAGAGTGGTTTTTAGCCTCCTTGTTAGAGCAACCGCCTCCCCTACAAAAACTTGCGGGTTCAATCCCAGCTCAGACCTGGTTGGTGCAGTAGCACCGGTGGGATACACACGTGGGGGCTCGTCCGGGATGTGAGTGAGTGTAACAGAGGTCAGCTAGAGGCCATGGTCTTTAGCCTCCTTGTTAGAGCAACCGACTCAAATACAAACAATTGCCAGTTCGATCCCAGCTCAGACCAAATTGGGTACAGCCATACTGGTGGGTTACACAAGATTTTGTGAGACTAAATAGAATACAAATAAACCACATATGAAACTTGTTTCTAATAGAAACAAGCAATTTGTTTCTATTAAAAAACTATAGGGTGCTCCCCAGGGCTCGGTATTAGGACCTTTTCAATAATTTTAAAATAATAATATTATTAGTAGAACAAATATCATTATTAAACATAATAATATTATTAAACACCTTAACATTAGTGGTAGTAGTATCCTTTTTATGTGATTATATGGGTGTGATTATCTTTTAGTCTTAAAATCTCTTATGTATATATACAGTTAAAGTCAGAATTATTAGCCCCCTTCGAATTGTTTTCTTCTTTTTAAAATATTTTCCAAATGATGTTTAACAGAGCAATGAAATTTTCACAGTATGTCTGATAATATTTTTTCTTCTGGAAAAAGTCTTATTTGTTTTATTTCGGCTAGAATAAAAGCAGTTTTGAATTTTTTGAACACAATTTTAGGGACAAAGTTATTGGCTCTTTTAAGCAATTTTTTTTCTTGATAGTCTACAGAAAAAAACATCGTTATACAAAGACTTGCTAATTACCCTAACCTGCCTAGTATACCTAATTAACCTAGTCAAGCCTTTAAATGTCACTTTAAGCTGTATAGAAGTGTCTTGAAAAATATCTAGTCAAATATTATTTACTGTCATCATGACAAAGATAAAATAAATCAGTTGTTAGAAATGTGTTATTAAAACTATTATGATTAGAAACGTGTTGAAAAAATCTGCTCTCTGTTAAACAGAAATTGGGGAAAAAAAAATAAACAAGCGATCTAATAATTCAGGGGGGCTAATAATTCTGACTTCAACTGTATATTGACTCATGTATATTTTATTGTCTCTTATAGTCAATTCAATATAAATCCTTTTCAATTTTAATTTTTATGTGATTTTTAAAGTAAAAAAAAAGAAACAAGATGTTGTGGGGCTAAATATAAAAAAACACACACAATTCAACAAAACAGTTTGTTTCTATTAAGAAGAAACTGTAGGGTGCTCCCTAAGGCTCGGTTCTAGGCCCGCTCCACTTTTAAAATGAATAGCATTATTATTATTATGAGTTTAAATTTTCTTATTAGTAGTATTAGTAGTAGTATAACTTTCTTTGTTTGGGAAAACATTAGTGGATGCATTGGTGAACGAGAGATGAACACTTACCAGTATTGAGGACATAAACTTGTTGAGGAAAATAACTTGAATGCAGCCCACGGTCAGGGTTACGCTAGTGTCCACAATGTGCATGTCTGTGTAAGCGTCACCCTCCGTTGCATCGACATGGTTCACCATGCGGAAATCAAACACCTCCTTATCAGCGATGGACACTGCCTGCATATCATAAACATTTTCCATCATTAGTCTCACACTAAAAACATCATGTTCGAAAAACGCCACAAATATGCCACAAAAAAGCATTATCTAATTAATGTCATTTAAAAGGCAGAATTTAAATGACAACGTAAAACCTGTAAAATCTAATAAGCAAAACCTCTTTTACTCCAATTAAATAGAAAATCTGAATTAACCATGATATTGTATAGTAAACTGGTATTTTACAGTTTAGATTTTGATTATATTAATCCTATTCAAGTGGAAATGCATTTCACTTGCATTTTTGGCTAAACAAATGTACGCAAACTATAAAAAGTACAAATCAATTTCTTAAAAGCTACAATATCTATATTAATATTTTTAAGCCTTACATTTATTCAGAAGTAAATTGGGATTTTTTTTAGGAATTGAAATAGGCTCTAAAGTATTTATTAGATAAAATGTGTATTTCAAGTTTGTTTAAAATTAAAAGTCTAACATTAAATAGATTTTTTTATTCATATTTCTTTTTGGTTATTATCTGTATTTTGGGTACAAAATAAAGTGTATCTGGACTTTACATTGATATTTGGAAAGCATGTATAATTCCATAATTATTAAATAAAGTTGGGAGCAGAAATATTTATAAATCAAGTGTACTTTTTTGATTTATATATATATATATATATATATATATATATATATATATATATATATATATATATATTTTTTTTTTTTTTTTTTTTTATTAATAATAATTGCACCCCTGAGTTTTAAGCACATTAAACTTCTTTACATAATTTACACTAAAATGGGTAATAATACTGGGTGCTGTTCAGTTGTTTTAACATTTCTTTGATAAAAGGTTTTGATTATCTTCAAAACACTGTAAAAGTGTTCTATAAAACTGTTTATAAAAGTGTACCAGTTGATTAATTTATATTTAATATGCTAAATAGCATTTTCTACCTTTTTATAAAGTGCCTCTTTGTCACAATCCAGAATGATGATGTTCTTCAAGTTAGCCAGAATCTCCACAGACTTCTTCTTCATCTGAACTTCAGAAACCAGTCCTGATGGGAGTTAACATGCTGTGTTAGAAGCTCTCCCTGGTTTTTTGTGTTTGAGTGCATCTACAGATGTGTCTATTACCCTCTATGCTGATCTCAGAGATCCTGGCTTTCTCTCCTCGTATGAACACCTTCAGACAGTTGAGGTCTGCGCGGATGTGCAAATTCACCACATCCTCAAACTTTGACTTCTTGTAGGCTGGAGCAGAAAAAAAACAATAATATGAGAATCAGGCATGCGGTGAAATTAACATTCTGGGCAGAAAATTCTGCATGCACTTGGCCAAAAAAGCGAAACTGAAAATGGTTTGTAATAATTATTTATGATTTTATTGAATAAAATAAAGTAATTTTGTAATAATCAATAACTTGATTTAAAATTAGACCGAAAAAACACAAGGCCTCTAAACCAAATGTATCGATAGTGGATGAATGGAGAGGTGTAATTTTACTAGTGTTGAAATGGCAACACGGTAGTGCTACTGGATGCAGCAGGAACAAGTATACTACATAGAAATGTCCTGTCGGAAAGAAATTTGAGCAGACTTTACTTTTTTGGTGAGCATGCGCCATCAACAGTGCGCTCTGTTTTTGAACTTTGGTCAACACAGTATACAATTCCTATGCCCAGTCCAAAGCTGCTTCAGACCAAACGCTGGCTGGTCACTGCGGCTTAATACAGCCTTTTCTGGGGGGTCATATTTTTAACTTTTTTTTTTCTTTCCCAAAACTAACCCAATAACCCACCAAACAACTAACCCACTTACCAAACAACTAACCAACTAACTAACCAAATCACTAACAAACAACCCACACCACTAACCAACCAAACCACTAACCAACCAACTAAACAACTAACCAAATAAACAACCAACAAGCCACTAAACAACCAACCCAACCACTAACTAACCAACCAACTCACTAACAAACCAACCAACCAACCAACCAACCAACCAAACTACTTACCAACCAACCAACCAACCAACCAACCAAACCAAACTACTAACCAACTCTCCAACCAAACCACTAACCAACCAACCTAACAACTAACCAGCCATTCAACCAAACCAATAAGCAAACAACCAATCAAACCATTAACCAACCAACGAAACCAAACCACAAACCTACCAACCGACCAACCAAACCAAACATTTAACCTACCGACCCACTAACCAACCTAAACCATTAACCTACCAACCTAACAACTAACCAGCCATTCAACCAAACCAATAAGCAAACAACCAATCAAACCATTAACCAACCAACGAAACCAAACCACAAACCTACCAACCGACCAACCAAACCAAACATTTAACCTACCGACCCACTAACCAACCTAAACCATTAACCTACCAACCCAAACCACTAATCTACAAACCACTAACCAACCCAAACCACTAACCTATCAACTTACTAATCAACCCAAACCACTAATCAACCAACCCAAACCATTAACCTACCAACCCATTAACCTACCAACCAACCCACTAACCAACCCAAACCATTAACCTACCAACCCAAACGATTAATCTACCAACCCACTAACCAACCCAAACCACTAACCTATCAACTTACTAATCAATCCAAACCACTTATCTACCAACCCACTAACCAACACAAACCACTAACCTATCAATCCACTGACCAACCCAACCCACTAACCTACCAACCCACTAACTAAACCACCCCACTAACCAACCAACCAACCAACCAACCTAAACCACTAACCCACCAACCCACCTACTAACCAACCAACCAACCAACCAACCCACAAACCAACCAATCAACCAACCAACCAACCAACCCACTAACTAAACCACCCCACTAACCAACCAACCAACCAACCAACCTAAACCACTAACCCACCAACCCACCTACTAACCAACCAACCAACAAACCAACCAACCAACCAACCAACCAACCAACCAACCAACCAACCAATCCACTAACCTACCAACCCACTATCTAAACCACCCCACTAACCAACCAACCCAAACCACTAACCTATCAACCCACTAACCAACCAACCAACCAACCAACCCACTAACCAACCAACCAACCAACCAACCAACCAACCCACTAAACCACCCACTCACTCACATCACTGACTCGCATGTTTTATGAGGCGGATTGGCCAAACACTGAAACACAGTTTTCTAATAGTCTTTTTCTGTGTCCAAAATTTCAGCGCATTGCTAACGGCATGAAATATCAAGACAATATAACAGGAGCAGGCAAAATAAACTTTCTTACAAGACTTCTTGGCCACAGCAGAATTCTCTACTTTAGCCTCCTCCTCTTCTTCTTCTTCCTCCTCCTCCTCCTCTTCCTCCTTGGGAATTATTGGTTGTTCCTCCTGGGTCTCCTTCTTCATCGGTGGCAGAAGATTATTTAGGAAGTTCATGGAGTTCAGGAGAGCCTCTGTGTGCAGGTGAATGTCCAGAGAGGAGAAATTCACCTGGTGCAAAAAAAAAAAAACACAGATTAAACTTATTATGGAACTGAAGTTTTCTTCTCTGTTATGATGTAGATAACTCTGCCCCTTTGGCTAACTATGACATTGTTTTTAAAGGCTGTGATTTGTGAACAGGCTTACCTTGATTAGTTGCTCTGTATTTTTGTACATAGCTTTAAAATCTGGTGCATTTTTGTCTGCCTGAAGAAAAAACAGGGTATTTGTGAAATCAGGGTTATCCGAGTTAACTAAAGCCATAAAGTTGATTTCTAATGTTTGAAATATTATAAACAACATATTAGATAATATATAATAAATAAAATATATAAAAAGTTTTTACTTGCAAAAATTTATTTTTAATTATTTTAAATTAAATTAAGTTATTTATTTTAAATTAAATTTATTAAATAAATTAAATAAAGAAATAAAGTTGCATTAAATAAAAACTTCACGGACATAAAATATTTTTTAAAATGAAAAAAACTTAAAAATAAAATGAAAACAATATAAAAATGCAAAAATAACTAAAATATTAAAAATAAAATATGAAATTTATATAAAAAAAATTAATGGACAAAAAAAAAAGTCTACATGACCTATAAAAAACTGATAATATGAATTTTCCTTCAGCTTAGTCCCTTATTCATTAGAGGTCGCCACAGCGGAATGAACCGACAACTTATCCAGGATATGTTTTACACAGTGGGTGCCTACACACACACTCATATGCTACAGCCAATTTAGTTAGTCCAATTCCCCTACAGCGCATGTGTTTGCACCCGGAGGCAACCCACGTCAACACGAGGAGAACATGCAAACTCCACACAGAAACACCAACTGGCCTAGCCATGGCTTGAATCAGCAATCTTCTTGCTGTGAGGTGTCAGTGCTACCCACTGAGCCACTCTGCTGCATGAACTGATAATAATGGACTAAAAATAATATTATAACAACAGTAATGCTATGATGAACTACAGGATCAGAGAAAATAAAAACAAAACAAATACACTTTACACATTACGACGCTTTCTAAATCATTGCTGTCTGGGTTATTAATAAAAATAAAGATTCACTACTAAATTTAGCGTGAGTGTTGGATATTTTAAAGCTAATTTGATTAAACAGCTGACACTCTCCTCTTACCTTGACATACTCCAGAGTGAGCAGATCCTCCTCTGTGTTGTCCAGCGTGGTGATAAGGTGAACTTTCTTGTCCTCAGAATCTTCACACAAACACACAAAATCCTCAAACATGTTAATATTTAATAGCGGAACTCATTTTAAGACATGCTCGAGCTCTATCTCCAACAAAACGTGCAAAAGATAAGAGCTGATTTCCAATAGAAATACACATTATAACATGTTATACTACAGCTCTGATGAATGCGGAATCTGATTGGCTGATGAGCATTCTAAATTCTGGCGTTACTTTCAGATAAAGTAGTTCTGGCAGGTTTTGAGCGCATTACAGCTCCATTTCACTACGCTGAATGATTTCAGTGATTTCACAGATTGGTAGTAACATGCTAATTCATGCTAGAATCATGCTAACAACATGCTAATTCATACTACAATCATGCTAATTCATGCTAGAATCATGCTAGTAACATGCTAATTCATGCTAGAATCATGCTAGTAACATGCTAATTCATGCTAGAATCATGCTAGTAACATGCTAATTCATGCTAGAATCATGCTAGTAACATGCTAATTCATGGTAGAATCATGCTAGTAACATGCTAATTCATGGTAGAATCATGCTAACAACATGCTAATTCATACTAGAATCATGCTAATTCATGCTAGAATCATGCTAGTAACATGCTAATTCATGCTAGAATCATGCTAACAACATGCTAATTCATGCTAGAATCATGCTAGTAACATGCTAATTCATGGTAGAATCATGCTAACAACATGCTAATTCATGCTAGAATCATGCTAGTTCATGCTAGAATCATGCTAGTAACATGCTAATTCATGCTAACAACATGCTAATTCATGCTAGAATCATGCTAGTAACATGCTAATTCAAGCTAGAATCATGCTAACAACATGCTAATTCATGCTAGAATCATGATAGTAACATGCTAATTCATGCTAGAATCATGCTAGTAACATGCTAGAATCATGCTAGTAACATGCTAATTCATGGTAGAATCATGCTAACAACATGCTAATTCATGCTAGAATCATGCTAGTAACATGCTAATTCATGCTAACAACATGCTAATTCATGCTAGAATCATGCTAGTAACAAGCTAATTCAAGCTAGAATCATGCTAGTAACATGCTAATTCATGCTAGAATCATGCTAGTAACATGCTAATTCATGCTAGAATCATGCTAGTAACATGCTAATTCATGCTAGAATCATGCTAACAACATGCTAATTCATACTACAATCATGCTAATTCATGCTAGAATCATGCTAGTAACATGTTAATTCATGCTAGAATCATGCTAACAACATGCTAATTCATGCTAGAATCATGCTAGAATCATGCTAACAACATGCTAATTCATGCTAGAATCATGCTAGTAACATGCTAATTCATACTAGAGTCATTTGCTGCGTCCGAAACCGCATACTTCCATACTATATAGTACGCCAAAATCAGTATGCGAGGCGAGTAGTATGTCCGAATTCATAGAATTCGAAAATCAGTAACCGAGAAGTACCCCGATAAGTTACAACTTCCGGCGAGATTCTAGAGTGCGCATCCTATGCACGCAGCGCTATCCCATAATGCCCCACGAGAGAATTCATGAATGGAAGTGAAGCGACGCAACTGACGCAGGTAGGTCCCGTGACCATGACAAAATGGAGGATGTAATACGTCCGAATTCCATTCATACTTTTCACATTCAGACTGTATAGAACGTACTTTTCTAACGGGTCGAGTAGTACGTTTAAATTCAAATGCAGTACCTACTGAGTAGTAGGCGGTTTCGGATGCAGCCATGCTAACAACATGCTAATTCATGCTAGAATCATGCTAGTAACATGCTAATTCATGCTAGAATCATGCTAATTCATGCTAGTAACATGCTAATTCAAGCTAGAATCATACTAACATGCTATTTACACTTTAAAACCACTTCAAACTTTCAGACTCTGCTTTTCAAGCCACCATAATGTTTGTTCTTTAATTTTTAATTTAACTTTAATATCTAGTTTTCAAATTAAAGTAGTTCTGGCAGGTTTTGAGAGCATTACAGCTCCATATCACTACGCTGAATGATTTCAGTGATTTCACAGCCTCAAAAAGCAGTAGGCGATTTCGGACGCAGCCCTGGTGTCTCATTAGCGGGTAAAAGGTTGTGTTTTGAGTGCACTTACCCAAGTATTCTGAGCACTCGAGGCAGATCTCACGCAGGAAAGTGTACGACGACATGTCAAACGTGCGAAGTTTGAGCTCTGTTCCCAATCCATCGATGAACAGATGCAGAACACTCACTTCCTGTCTATTCGACACACGGCACAGCTGCACCGAGAGCTGCGGGTAAAACAAACAGGGGAAACGTGCTATTTAAAGAGGGACAGCACACCCAAAAACCATTAAAAATAGGTTTTAATTCACACTTCACATCACAAACAGGATTGAGTTTCTTTCTTCTGTTGAACACAAAAAAAGGATATTTTGAGAAATGTTAGAAACCTGTAACCATTGACTTCCATAGTATTTGTTGTTATAATGGTTACAGGCTCACGAACATTTTTCAAAACATCTTTTTTTGTTCAAATGAAAAAGAAAACTCAGAGGTTTGAAATCAAATTATTAATTATAAATTTTCATTTTGTGTGAACTATCCCACAGGTTAATGTGCAGGTTAGTGTATACTCCATCAGCTGTTTTCATTTCTGTTAGCTTTGCGTTTTCAACAGTTTGGCGCCATCTAGTGACTAAATAGTGAGCAGGTTAGTGTATACTCCATCAGCTGTTTTCATTTCTATCAGCTTTGTGTTTTTGACTGTTTGGCGCCATCTTGTGTCTGAATAATGTGCAGGTTAGTGTATACTCCATCAGCTGTTTTCATTACTGTCAGCTTTGTGTTTTTGACTGTTTGGCGCCATCTTGTGTCTGAATAATGCGCAGGTTAGTGTATACTCCATCAGCTGTTTTCATTACTATAAGCTTTGTGTTTTTGACTGTTTGGCACCATCGTGTGTCTGAATAATGCGCAGGTTAGTGTATACTCCATCATCTGTTTTAGTTTCTGTCAGCTTTGTGTTTTTGAATGTTTGGCACCATCGTGTGTCTGAATAATGTGCAGGTTAGTGTATACTCCATCAGCTGTTTTCATTACTGTCAGCTTTGTGTTTTTGACTGTTTGGCGCCATCTTGTGACTGAATAATGCGCAGGTTAGTGTATACTCCATCAGCTGTTTTCATTACTGTCAGCTTTGTGTTTTTGACTGTTTGGCACCATCGTGTGTCTGAATAATGCGCAGGTTAGTGTATACTCCATCAGCTGTTTTCTTTACTATTAGCTTTGTGTTTTTGACTGTTTGGCACCATCTTGTGTCTGAATAATGCGCAGGTTAGTGTATACTCCATCAGCTGTCAGCTTTGCATTTAATTAAAGAATTCATAAATTGTTACAGCTCAGAACAATGTTTTGTTTCTAATGTTTGTGTTTTGTGGCAAGTAGCTGGTGTAATAAGCAGGAAAAAGTTCAGACCTTGTTGATCTCAAAACTAAGCAGAAACTCAGTCATGTTCTTCTTGGGGTCTTTGAGCACCATAGACAGACGTTTATCAGCTGCTGAAGCATGCCGAGAGTCCGACGAGGCCTCGAAGAACGGCAGATCCTCGATCGGTGAACTGGGGGCGTCAAAGAACAGCTCCTCCTCTGAAAAAACACAGTGTTTCATATGGTCAAATGTAACCCTGCATGACAACATCTTGTGTTACACAGGTATATTTTTGGCAATAACTAAAAATACATTGTATGAGTCTAAATTATCGATTCCTCTTTCATACCAAAAATCACCAGTGTAATAAGTAAAAATCATCTTCTATGCAGATATTTAGTACATTTCCTACTGTAAATATATCAAAAATCAATATTGATTGAGTGATGTGCATTGCTGTTACATCTCAAGAGATGTTTTAGCGATATGGCAAACGCAACACAAAGAAATTCTCAGTTCAGGTGATTTTTCTTTACTAACACTGATAGATTTTGTCAGTAAGATAGCCCAAACAAAACTATGAGGAGAAAGAAAGTTCTAGTAATGTGTTTATTTATAATGAGGGGAAGAATTGACAGGCATAAAAAAGATAATAATATAAAAAAAACACCTGGACATGAAATTAAAGCAAATAATAAAAGACAAAAAAAACCCCCACTCTAACTAAATCCCAGTCCCAACCAAAATGTAAGAACTTAACATGGGCAAAATTTAAAGGGGTTTATCCTCAATATTCAGATTTTTTTTCCACATTAAGATTCAAACTGACAAATTTCGGCCAAATATTGTCTTATTCTAACAAACCATACATTAATAACAACCTTATTTATTCAGTTTTAATTTAAAAAATATGACCGATCTGTGGAGTATTTCTCTGTAAGTTTAGTCTCTGTTTGTCTGACCTGAGCCGTATATGATGGACGCACGCAGGTCATCTATAGCTGGCCTTCGGGGCGTGAGCTGAGGGGTATTTCCTCGCTTGGAGGCCTAATAAAAAAATTTAAAAATTAAAAAGCGTGATCACATCGTTAGAAAACCAAACAACACTCCTGGCGCTTGCCAACACAATGCAAATATGTTCAAATGAACCAAAATGACATAAGCTTCTGAATCAGGACAGGTGTACTTCTAAAGGAAAATGTATAATGTTTAATTGCATATTTTGTAGCGATTTATTAAAACAAATTAAATGCATCAACTGTGAGAAAATGTTATATATATGTATATATGTATAAATGTTATATAAATGTTATATAAATGTATATATGTGTATATATATATATACACACACACACACACACACACACACACACACACACACACACACACACACACACACACACACACACACACACACACACACACACACACACACACACACACACACACATATGTACACACACACACACACACACACACACATATATATATACATATATATATATAAATACATTATTATATAATATATATAATATAATATATATATATATATATATTATATTACTAATATAACATTTGAGCGCGTTCTTAAACAGCACTGATTTGTCATTATGTTCACGTGCTCAACAGAAGTGACAGTAAATGGCTGTGAAGGTCATCAGTTCACCAAACTCACCACTGTTTACTGAATGTAACCACAGGTACAAGAGGCACTGGAGCATTTTAAGGCTGTGAAGATCAGCTGGTTTGTCTTTATGCTGACATGCAAGTAATCCACTGACGAATCACAGCATTAAAATGCTCCAGTGTATGTGTGTGTATGTGTGTGTATGTGTGTGTATGTGTGTGTGTGTGTGTGTAAGCATCAGACAACTTTATTCTGTAAAATTGAATTATTATATTACTGAAATACTAAATAATATTAACAAAATAAATGAAAAATACAACTAAAATACAATCTAATCATCAGAAAAAAGCAAATATATCAACTTAAAATGTTAAACAAACTGTTAGAAATTAATAAGTAGTTTGAAGTATTTTTTAAAAACTATTTAAAAAGTTCGAAAGAAAACATTACTGTAATCTAAAACGAAGCAAAAAATATACTGAAACTATATATGAAAAACATATTGAAAATTGCATTTCTTTAAGCATTATTTTAACATATTCCTAAACAACAAAACACTTAAAAACAAAAACAGCTAATTCATATTATGAAAATAAAGCAATTTAGGAGTACATAAACAATATTAAACTAATATGAACTAACAGTCAATTGTCAGATGATTATCCACATATTTCGCTTAATATATGCAATATTTTATTTCCGTAATTTAATTTCATATGATCAACATCTGAAGAGTTCACTTGCAAAAACAGAAAACCAAAATTTCCGGAAGTTTGCAATAAAACTCAATACCACTTAATAAACTTAATTGTCATCATTTCTGACAACTAACTAAAAAGCAGAGTTAGTTACTTCATGGCACAGCCGGGATTCAAACCAGTGACCTTCTTGCTGTGAGGCGACAGTGCTAACCACTGAGCCACCGTGTCGCCCCAGTGTTAGTAATTTCCACAAATCCTGTTTTATGCAATTGTACTCTTCAATCCACAACTTAAAATCAAAACATCTAAAAATGACTCAAATGAAAACACGTGATATACTCCTCCTAGATACTTTACTGAATCAACTCTTATCTAGTGTTATTAAACAATTACAAAGCAGCAAAGGTCCGTTTTCTCAAGAGATAGTGGCCCAAATTAAATCTGGCCCAGTCTTCATCATTGTGTGTTTACCTTTGGAGTGGCCTGCGTGTTTCTGGACTGAGGCGTGGGCCGGCTCTCAGGTAGAGGAATACTGCTGAGCAGAGCCAGAACGCCACGCACTTTATCATCAGAGATCCGCAGAGACAGCAGAGGCAGCTCACCGTGCATCTTAAACCTCAACAACAGCAACAAGACAACACACATCAATGCAAGATTAATATATGTGTTACATACTGTTGAAGAAATGTAGAAGCCCTCCTTTAATATTTTAGTTCTTCAAAATTTTCCAAGTGCTGTTGAATGGAGAAAAGCTTTTTAAGATTTCAGATTTTAAAGGGTTATCTAGGTTAACTAGGCAAGGCAATGATCAACAGTGGGTTGCTTTGTAGGCAAGCAAAAATACTAAATTCCTAAAGGGATAGTTCACCCAGAAATAAACTACGTAATTATGTAAACATATTTTAATACCATTTTCAGTTTATAAACTGTGAGAATATTTGGTTTGGCTGCATATATACACATGCACTAAGGCAGTGGTTCCCAACCTTATTTTGCCTGAGACCCCCTTTTTAATAGGAAAATATTGTAAGGCCCCCCTCCACATTTAATGATATTATCGCTCATAAAAGTTTGCAGTAATGATGACAAAAAAATGCTGTTTTCAAACAAACGGTAAGATTATTACTGTATCTAGATATGCTTATACACAAATAATATTCTAACGTAAAATATAAAAGCAAACCATCAGGCCATCTGTAACTGAAAAATGTAAGACTTTGGCTTTAAAATTGGCCCTATTTGAAATTCAATAAGAAAAATATCCATATTCACACTGATGTATAAGGGAAAAAATAATATAGGCTTTTACAATGTACTACTTGCATGTTATTTATTATGCTCCATCAATTAGTCCGAGGATTGCTGCGAGGCCAATAATTGAGACTCTGTCTTTGTTGTTGAGTACGGGTTACAAATTTGCCCATTTTTAGTCATCTAGGGCAGTGGTTCTCAACCTGTTTATCACCACGTACAATTGTCACTTTTACTGCGGACCAGGGTGGTGGGGTGTTTCGTAGGTTGATCCATTAACCGCTTTCCCAGAAGATGACAAGCTGACAAAACATTGCTGTCACTCTCTGGTACAAGTTTATTTATGGAATAAATTACAAAGCACTGCAGTGTTGGTGTGTTCTGTGTTTGTCAGAGAAAACTACTCTTACCGAAATATGAATATTCCATACAACCTGAAGCTGATTGGTCAATTCTTGTCATAGGTGCGATCGCGTCACACCACACCTCCATTGGAAACAACAAACTTGTGCAAACTCTAGAAATACCCAATATGCGAAGGGCGCTTAAAAGGCGGCTGTCATTTGCGATCTCCAGCAGTTGATCTTCTTGCAGAGCCATGCTGGATTCACCTGATTTGTTGACAAATTTGTTGCGAATCCATACCTTGGCAGTTCGTGGGTCGTTCACAGGGTCTTTTCCCCTTAGCAAAGACACTTATCAAAGATGTCCGTTTCTTACTCATTTTGCTGCTTGTGGGTTAAATTTGAGCGCTCAAGTGACCGAGACGTAAGCGAGAGAGTACTGTCATTTTTCAAAATAAAAGATCGTTCAGACTCGGATAATAAATAAAACGGAAATAATTAATGATTTCTTGTGCGGCCCGGTACCAATTGATTCACAGAGCGGTGTTTGAGGACCACTGAGCCACTGCTAAGAAATGTTTAAAATAAGCCCCCCACAGAGCTCGCTGAGGCCCCCCTGTTGGGAATCACTGCACTTAGGCATACATTTTTCAATATTTAAGGTCTAAGGCCCCGTTTACACTAGTGCGTTTTAGTTTGAAAACGCATAAGTTTTGCTACGGTTTCGCCATCCGTCCACACTACGCCGGAGTTCTCGAGCGCCGAAAACGGAGCGTTTTGAAAACGCTGGAGAGGCCGTTTTCATTCTGAAACGCTGCTGCTCCGTCTCAGTGTGGATGGGGAAAGACGGAGACATCTGAAAACGGAGGCGGGGCTGCAAACGTTCGCCTATCTGATTGGGGCTTTTCCTCAATATTAAGTAGCCCACACACAGTTCAGTCTCGCATCCTCTTCTTGTAAGTTAAGACTTTGCAAGTTTGATCAAGGCTGCAGTCTCCCCCTTCTCAGTTTGATATGGAAAACATACCGAGGACACGGGTAAATCTTCAAAGGGAACAGTGTACTTTATAACTTCATTCACATCACCTTGGCTACGTTGTTTCACTTTCTCAACAATAAAATGTAAACATGATTTAAGGAATTGCCTATTTTCTTTTTAATATTAGCAACTAAACAGACAGCAGAAATGTTGAGGCGCCGTGCTGCATATATGGGCGTCATCTTCACTGTGTGGATATTTATAACAAAACGGAGCCGATAACAACTGCCTCCTTTCAATTTCAGTGTAAATACGAAACGCACCCTCTCTTTTGCTGAATATCAGTTTTAATAATAAATAATTATAAAAGTATAACATACAATAAGTTTTTACATTGTAGGAAATAAAGGCAAGCGATCAGTCAATGTACCTGGATTAATCATTAACTTATCTTTGCGCTTAACCAAAACATGTTACCCGTGAACAAGTAACTTAATAGATTCCAATGACCAAAGTCAGGGAATTGTGTGTGTGTGGTCACGTGATGTGCGTTTTCAGCGTTTTGGTGTGGACGGAGAGCTGTTCAGAAATGGTGGGTAAAACGCGAGAGTGGACGCGGATCGTTTTCATTCTACAACGCCGTTTTAAAACTAAAACGCACTAGTGTAAACGGGGCCTAAAAACCTGTCTGCTGTATAGCACAGAAAAAAAAAAACATTGCAACGTCCATTTTTGTCCAGTTTTTTTTTTTTTCATTTGTGAATGTGCAAAGAAACATTCCTCCAGCTCCTTACTTGGGCATCCTGGAGTCTGTGACCACCATCGCTCTGCTAAAGACCACCTTCAGGTCCACTGGCTCCAGGATGTGGAAAGCAGACTGTCTTAGCGGACGAGCCCGCTTCCAGTCTCCACCTAACAAACACACAGTGTGTGTAAAGTGCCTACAATGTCCCTTAATTTCGAAACCTAGTACTGACAGGTATGTTATTATGTGTGCGCACCTGCTTTGGAGTAGAGGAACTGCAGACTGCTGAGCTGGACGTCGAAGCTGTCGTACGCTCGAGACATGATGTCCTCTAGAGTACTGCTGCCCGCAGACAGCTGAGGAAGATCAGCTCGGCTCTGACTTGACATCTGCACACAAACACACACACTTTAACACAACGGCGTGTGTGCATTTATTACACAGCTTTCAGAACTGCTCCATTCTGTCTGGTCAGTTGCAACACTCTAAGGTCAAATATTCGATTAAAGACTGCAGCAATACTGTTGAAGTGTTTTGTCTCTGGCTATCTATCAGTCAATCGGTTCGTTAGTTAGTACGTTCATTCATTCATAAATTAGTTAGTTCAATTGTTCATAAGTTCGCCAATGAGTTCCCTCGTTAGTTTGTCCATTCATTAGTTAGTTTGTTCATTAGATCACCATTTGAATAATAATTGGTTAGTTTGCTCCTTAATTCGTAAGATTGTTCTTTAGTTCGCTGGTGAGTTTGCCCAGTTAGTTTGTTAATTTATTCATTAAATGGTTAGTTTATTCATTTGTTAGTTTGCTCTTGAGTTTCGCTGGTTCACCATTTAAATAATAATTTGTTGGTTAGTTTGTTCGCTCGTTAGTTCATTCATTCTTTAGTTTCGCTGGCGAGTTCGCTTATTAGTTTGTTTGTAAATGTGTTCATTAAATGGTTAGTTCATTAATTTGTTTTTAATTTGTACGTTTGTTGGCTCGTTCATTAATTTGTTGTTTGTTGGTTTACTATTTATTTTTTAATTTGTAAGTCATTTTATTCGTTCGTTAGCTTATTTGTTTTTTCGTTACTTTGCTGGTGAGTTCGCTCCTTATTTCGCTCGTTAAATGTTCGTTAGTTACAAATTTCTTCGTTTCTTTATTGCTAGTTCGTTAGTTCACTATTTCAATAAAACTGTTAGCTTGTTCGTGCGTTAGTTCATTTGCTTTTTCTTTAGTTCGTTAGCTAGTTTGCTGGTGAGTTGGCTTATTGGTTCGTTCATTAAATGGTTTGTTAGTTAGCTCATTTCTTCATTTGTTCATTGTTAGTTTGTTAGTTCACCATTTCAATAATTTGTTAGTTAGTTTGATCGTTTCGTTAGTTAATTTGCTTATTCGATATTTGGTTTGTTAGTTTGCTAGGGAGTTTGCTCCTTGGTTCGACCATTACACGGTTCGTTAGTTCACTTCTTCCTCGTTAGTTTACTGTATCAATAACAATTTGTTAGTTTGTTCGCTAGTTCATTTGCTTATTTGTTAGCTAGTTCGTTAGTTTGCTAGTGAGTTTGCTCCTTGGTTCGTTCATTAAATGGTTTGTTAGTTAGCTCATTTCTTCATTTGTTCATTGTTAGTTCGTTAGCTCACCATTTCAATAATAATTTGTTAGTTAGTTCGATCGTTTCATTAGTTCATTTGCTTATTCGTTAGTTAGTTTGCTGGTGAGTTTGCTCCTTAATTTGTTCATTAAATGGTTTGTTAGTTCATTACTTCATTGTTAGTTCACAATTTCAATAACAATTTGTTAGTTTGTTCATTCCTTAGTTCATTTGCTTATTCGTTAGTTTGCTGGTGAGTTTGCTCCTTAGTTCGTTCATTAAACGGTTTGTTAGTTAGCTCATTTCTTCATTGTCAGTTCGTTAGCTCACCATTTCAATAATAATTTGTTAGTTAGTTCGATCGTTCGTTAGTTCATTTGCTTTTTCGTTAGTTAGTTTGTTGGTGAGTTTGCTCCTTAATTCGTTCATTAAATGGTTCGTTAGTTAATTTCCTCATTTGTTCACTGTAAGTTCACTGATTCAACAGTAATTAGTTAGGCTGTTAGTTAATTCATTAGTTCGTTAGTTTGTGTTTTTACCTGAAAATGACCCAGATCTAGAATGGCAAGGTTGTGTTTGGGGTCATAAAAGCCGTTTTCCGGTACGATGACATACGAGGCCATGAGGTTTATTTTCAGATCCAGAACTTTCTGCGTCTCAATGATGTACATGAGGCCTGTCAACAATCAACAACACCGTTTTACTACTAACTAAAATTTTCTGAATGTACAACTATTTAAACTATTAAAAAACTAAATATGACCGGAATTAAGACAGACACATACATACATACATACAGACAGACAGACACAGACGCACACACATACACACCTGTGGAGGTTTTGTCTCTGAACTGCTCCAGCTTCATCAGTGTGGCGTTGGTCAGTTCATCCAGCTGCAGGTCTTTAGGAGGCATGAAGAAAGCGGACATACTGTTCACGGTCATCTACAACAAAACAACAAACTCACTTTCACTTAAAGTTGAAACATAAGCTGCAATAGATTTAGTCCATGAGGGATTTGATTGGACAGTTGTGGTTTGCTTTAGGCACATTTCAAAGGACTGACAGATTGATCCCGCCTTCAAACCAGTAAACACCAATCAGGGAGGAGAAAAGATAGATGAGAGAGGGGAAGATATTTTGATTAAAGGTTAAAAGAACACATTAACTCTAATAAACACTGGAATTATTATTTAAAAACTGTGACTTTTTTAACTTTACATTCAAATTTTAACTTTAAATAAAGATTTAAAGGGATTCTGACTGGTTTTTATTGTTTATAACCTAGAATAAAATCTGACAGTGATCCCAATCATATTGTTTTAAGAACTACGTCATTATCAGTAGCAACTACGTCATTATCGTGAGCCTTAGAGTTATCATGTTTGGTGTAAACGGGCCTTTGGGAATATATGAAGAATATATTAACTGTCACAGAGCCTCACTGCATCATAGATGATCTCCAGCGGCTGGGACTCGATGCGCAGTCTCTGGTCAGCACGAGCGTCCAGCGGGTTGGTCTCGAACATGAGGTTCAGCAGACTTTTATCCTTCATGCCGTCCACATGACGTGGAGAAAGCAGGATCGGGGCCGACTTTTCCCGCGGGAGACCGGACACTTCAAACGACGACAGCTGAGCGGAGATCCTGACAGGACAATAGCAAAATTAATACTGCTTTAATAAAATATATTTCAATTACATAAATAACATTAAATCATATAATCAAAATCATAAAACACTATTAAGTTAATTTTCTCTACGACAGGGTTACTTTACCATCATAAAAAGGTTTACTAATTTAATTTTCAATTTTTCCAATTTAAATTCCATTAGCTTTTAATTATACCTATATATATATATATATATATATATATATATATATATATATATATATATATATATATATTCTGTTTATTATTTAAGCTTTTAGATTTCATTATTTTAGCATTTTTTTTTATTATTGTAATCAAAATAATTGGGGGCGGTGCAGTTTTCACAGAGAAATGCCAAGTTTATTATATAATAATATATTAAACTGTAATATATTGTACATAAAGTAAACATAATCTACCGTCATTTTATTAATTGTAATGCTGTGTTCACACCAGATGCAGAACGCGCAGATAAATCACGCTATTTGCGCGTAAATAGCCGCGTGAACATTTGAGGTTACTCGCTTCATTCGCGCGTCAAATCCGCTTCATTCGCGCGTCAAATCCGCTTCATTCGCGCGTCAAATACGCTTCATTCGCGCGTCAAATACGCTTCATTCGCGCGTCAAATACGCTTCATTCGCGCGTCAAATACGCTTCATTCGCATGTCAAATTCACTTCAGAACAGACGTGGATTTGCGTGATAAGCAGGGCTTCTGTCTGCCCGGTAACTCTAGCTTCATTGCTAAATGGCTAACATGGATTTTATGAAGAAAATAACAGTGTTTATGTGCTTTATGAAGGCTGAAAAACAGCGTTGATACGTTTAGGGTCGTGTCTGAGTCCACTAGTTTAAAACTAGTAGTTAACCTGGATGACGGAGGCTTTCAGCGGTGCTTCTGACTGAGCCGAGCCCAGTTTGATGACTTGTTGTCGGTGTCGCCTGGAGGATTTCCTCCAGGACACCATCAATAGGTTCTACGTCACAATCACGCCCCCACAAGAGCAAGCTCCTGATTGGTTACTGCAGCGCGAATGTCCGCTGAAGTTCAGATTTTCGAACTGGAGTGATTTGCGTCAAACGTGCAAAACGCTCAATTCGCGGTGCGTATCGTTCGTATCGTGGCATTCGCGCAGCGCCATTCGCGCAATATGCGTCATTCGCACCACGCCGTTCTCGCGAATCGCGCCGCAGTATGTCTATTCGCGCGTTTGCATTGACTTAACATGTAAATCACTCGCGCTTGACGCATGTTCCGCATCTGGTGTGAACGCAGCATGTTAAAGCTATCTGAAATTATAGAATTTGTTCATGTTATTTCAGTAAATGTTTTATTTCAAGTAACAAAGCTGAACTGTATTGAATTGATTAGAATAATGACACTAACTTGTGTTTCTAGAGTGCCTTTACAGTGGAAATTGAGTTTGTCTCCTATTTCTGTACGTTTTTTTGTTGTTATGACTGTGAAGCTGCTTAAACAATTTAAGTGCATTATATATAAGGTACTATAGAAAAAAAGAGGCATAATTTCCACGGCATAACTGAAGGCGAATGTTGTGCTTTTTAATCACAAACTGAGGAATGTAAAGTAAAAAGTATTAAAGTGTGCATGAAACGGAGGTTGCCACAGACTCTTATTTTAGTATGATAATGCATATTAAAACTGAATATTAGAACAGAGGGTTTCATTTTTGAGCTCCTCCCCTTATATATCACTCACAGCCAACTAATAGTGAGGGGCATGGCTATGCATATTTCGCCTAGTGGCCCCGCCCATTAGTGACCATCTCTCCCTCATTAGCATAAGACATTAGTTTTGTTTTTGAATCTGCCACTATGCTGATGCATAGGCCTGTGTGGCTCCGCCCTCTTTTGAAAAGAGCACAATCTCATTTGAATTAAAGTGACAGTCACCAAAAAGGTACAATAAAGATAAAAACCTAAAAGAGGCAGCTTCAAACAGTTATAAAACAATATTTGTGGGGGATTTTGAGCTGAAACTTGCATCTTACAAAAAGGGGCATGATAGATCTCCTTTAAAGCATTTTGAACACAGAACTTTCAATCAAATACAATAAATAAATAAGTGGCAAGCATTTCATAATCATATTGAAAATAACAAGTGATCAGTTTAAGAAATGCAGAAGAAGATGATACTTTATAGCTTGAGCCGCGGGTCTTTGAGTCAGCATGGCCTTCAGGTCAATGACAGACAGTTTGATGATCTCCGCCTTCTCTCGGCTCTCTTTGATGGACAGGGACAGGCGGAGAAGATGGAAATTCATCTTCATGTTTTCAAACTGCAAACAAAAAAGATGAGTCAGGGGTTTAATGCTTTACAACAACAAACTGCACAGGCTCAATCAATGGAGATTGGCTTGCTAATAACGTACAAGCAGACTAAAAATACTGGCCGTACATATTTTTTTAAATTATTTCAATATTTTTATTTAGCATGGGTGCATGGGATTAAAAGGTGACAATAATTATGTTAGTAAGATTTCCACAATCATGTTATGTATTCAGCATTGATTACATTTACATGGGCATCAGAAATGGAATTATTCGCCTTAATCTGAATAAGTCAATAATTTAATTATATGAATTAATTATTAATAATATTAGACAAACCCGCCGCTATCACAAACAAGGTTTAAGGCTAGTCAAGATTAAATTGCATGTTTGAGCTGTCTCAACTCAAAATGACTTGCAGTGAGACGTCTTAAAATACATCAGCGTATTTTTTTTCTCCAGGTGCCCACCAGTAATATATTTTACTAAGGCCATTTTTATAAATTTGGCTTAAATAGCCTAATTTAACTAAGGCTTAGTCTTGGCTTAATCTTAGCCCTGTTTGTGAAATTGGGTCTAGATATTCTTCAAAACACTAGTATTTAGCTTAAAGTGACATTTAAAGGCTTAACTAGGTTAAAGTTAGGGTAATTAGTCAAGTCATTGTATAACAGTGGTTTGTTCCGGAGACAATCAGAAACTAATATTGCTTAAGGGGCTAATAATATTGACCTTAAAATGGCAGTAAAAAAATTAAGAAGTGCTTTAATTCTAGCCGAAATAAAACAAATAAGACTTTCTCCAGAAGAAAAAATATTATAGAAAATACTGTGAAAAATTCCTGAATCTGTTCAACATCATTCGGGAAATATTTGAAATTTTAAGTTTGTCTTCAACTGTATAAATGTGTGCCTGTATGCGAGTCATGATTGTGACTAACATTTTTTGGCAGGTTGGGGTTGACAGCAGTTTCGCTGTATCCGATGGCAGCGTATAGTTTGGCTTTCTCTGCAGGCGTCATTAACCCATCAAAACCTGAGGAAATCAGACAAACAGACAGTCAGCAAGTCTACCAGAAACAGACTCAGGATGAGTTTTATTCACCAAGTGCGTGCAAACATAGCAGATCATTTTGGTGGTTTGCGGAAGCTCAGAGGAAAAAACAAACACATCAACACAGGAAGACAGAAGGACATTTGAATAAGTGTAAAATAAAGTAAACAAAAGTGCTCAGCATAAATGAATAACTATGTTTTGAAAAATGAATATTTTTATTAATTTCAATTTAAAAAACAAAACAAACCAAAAACAGAAACCAAACCAAAGACGAAACAAACCAAACCAAAAGTAGAAACTAAACCAAAAAACGAAACAAACCAAACCAAAAGTAGAAACCAAACCAACTTAAAAGTAGAATCCAAACCAAATCAATAGTAGAAACTAAACCAAAAAACCAAACAGACCAAATCAAAAGTGGAAACCATTCCAAAGAAACGAAACAAATCAAACCCAAAAGTAGAAACCAAACCAAAAAAATAAACCAAACCAAAAGTAGATTATAAACTAAAAAAAACAGACCAAACCAAAGGAGGAATCGAAACCAAACTAAAAGTAGAAACCAAAGCAAAAAAAACAGACTCAGGATGAGTTTTATTCACCAAACGCGTGCAAACACACCAGATCATTTTGGTGGTTTGCGGAAGCTCAGGGTATAAACAAACACATCAACACAGGAAGTAGGGTTGTAACGGTATGAATTTTTCACGGTATGATAATCGTCTAAAACAATACCACGGTTTGACGGTTTCGCGGTATACGGTATGTTACAAATGTTACAAAATAATAGAACAGTGAAGCAAATTTGACTTTTTCCAAATAATATATTTTTAGTTACTATAAACAACACCACTTACAATGAACAAATAAGAAAATAAGAGAATAATAAATAATGTGTCAAAGTCCAAATAAAGTCCAAATAAACATGGTGCAAATCCTCAGTAAAAAATAGATATAAATGTTTACTATACTATAAATAGTTACATAACGAAACTAGATTCAATATGGAACATCCTTACGTTTTATGTGCCAGCATGGATATGGTTGTCTGTGGATATGGATTTGGATATGGTTGTCTGCAATGCAGACAAACAGCTGCATCTTCATTTGCGTCTTTTGAAAACAGCAAGAGCAGCAGTTCGTCTTTGCTGTGTCACTGTTTTGTCATGTTTCTGTGCTGCTGTGCATGCAAAAGTACTTAGTATGAGAATTATTTCATGCAAAACTTTTTTTTTTGCGTTTTATTTAGCCGCGCATAAATGTATGCCTATCTCTCATTCCGTGTTGTTCAAAAAGCTTGGTCCACAAACAAAAGCGAAACCTATGCTTATTGGTTGTGATATAGCGAGTTTGAACCAATCTGGGCATGGAGGAGGGACAATGCATCAATGTATCATGTCTGATTTGTCCGGAGACACAGTGACGAGCGTTTCTTTGTCAAATCAGCGTTGTCAAATGTTGATGACGTAACCGCACTGATTCCGGAGCCTCTGAAAGTCCGCGAATGTTATGTGATACAGCACTGGAAAGCTGAGATTCTCTTCTTTATGCCAATCTTTGAATTGTATGAATCGGATCAGCGGATCAAAAGTTCTTAAACATTTAAGAGCAATACTTATTTTTAGCCGTGGGCGGCTGTCTCGGTCTTTAAGGGTTAAAACCGTTGATATGCAATTGTTCATGGTATGATAATCGTGCACGTTCAAATCGTGGTAAACCGTCATACCGGTATATTGTTACAACCCTAACAGGAAGACAGAAGGACATTTGAATAAGTGTAAAATAAAGTAAACAAAAGTGCTCAGCATAAATGAATAACTATGTTTTGAAAAATTAATATTTTTATCAATTTCTCAGTGAATATGGCCAATGATTTTTGGTGCATTTAAACAAAAGAGTTTTATTAAACAGTTATATGCAGTACAAAAAAGTCACTGAACATCTTTAGAAATAAAAATATAAATTATTTAAATTAAAATGAGTTATTGCAAAACAAAACAAAATATTACAAACTAGAAAATGTCTCCTCCTACTACTAAAAGTTTATTTAATATTTTTCCTTAACATATTAATTTGGATATAGTAATGTTTGGGCTTTGATCTTAAGTTTTTGGTAACACTTTACAATAAGGTTCATTAGTTAATGCATTTACTAACATGAACTAATCATGAACAACACATGTACAGCATTTATTAATCATAATTGAACATTTACTAATCCATTATTAACATTTGAGGCCATGCTTGTTAACAGTAGTTAATGCACCATGAGTTAACATGAACTAACAATGAACTACTGTATTTTCATAAACTAACGTTAACTAACATGAACAAATACTGTAGTAAATGTATTGTTTATTGTTTGTTCATCTTATTAAATGCATTAATTAACATTAACTAATGAACCTTATGGTAAAGTGTGACCAGTTTTTTTTTTGTTAGTTCTTGTTTTATTTATTTATTTTTTGTTAGTTTCAGTTTTGGTTTTGCTACTGACTAATCTAACGTATATGCACAAATATAATATTTTAAAGCAATCTACAGAAAACATTAACCTAAAAACTCAAAACTCATTCATGCTGGACACTATATGAACACACATCTAGATGGCTTATGAGCGCTGTTGACTCTTAACTGTGCAGATAAGAAATTAAAAGTGTAATATTTATCTAAATGTATTAACAAATGGCTTTATTAAGTGGCAGAATCAAGTCAATCAGAAACAGACTGAGTTTACTTTCTCTTGAAGTGCACACCACAGATTCTATGCTAGTTACAGCTAACTAACCCAACACAGCGTGCAGACAAACCTCCAGTTTTGACGTCTTTGGTTTGAGTGGCACTGGCTTCTCCAGACCAGTTCCACATCCAGCCAAACCAGCCCTGTGACTGTTCCTCCTCCACCTTCACCCCGGGCCGGTAAATCCTGAGCCCTGCCTTCGAGGCCTGCAAATACCAACCACACAAAACACACCAGTCAAACTATGCAGTCAGAAACTGGAGAATCAAACCTGGAGATCTTCGTGTGGCCACAGGAACACATCAGCAGTGATGTGAGCCAGAGGATACAAAATAATAAGAATTTTAATGGTGATATATTTAGATATACAGATAGACAAACAGATAGATACAGACAGACAGACAGACAGAGAGATAGATAGATAGATAGATAGATAGATAGATAGATAGATAGATAGATAGATAGATAGATAGATAGATAGATAGATAGATAGATAGATAGATAGATAGATAGATAGATAGATAGATAGATAGATAGATAGATAGATAGATAGATAGATAGATAGATAGATAGATAGATAGATAGAATTTGTGATCTTAGATAGAAGTTGTGATCTTGACAGTACAATGAATTACATCATGACATGTGATTTTTGTCATCGGCCAGCCTTAGATATAAATTTTTCACATTAGTGTTATGATATTTGTGAATATTATAAGAGGGCAAATGCGTTGTTACGTCACCTCCATCTCAGCCTGCTGTCTCGCCATTGTGATGTTGAATATGTCTAATGTTCTTTCAGTCTCCTAAAGGAGGAACAAATGATCAAGGTTACTTTCAAAACAGAGCTTTCACAGAAACAAATACGGGTTTATTTGGGTCTTGACACGTCTTAAGCTTCAAGTGTTCTTAATATGTAAAGTATCGATGTTGTTGATAGGGACTACAGCTGTCAAAGCCTAAACCAAAACAAAAACCATGTATCCAAAACTATATTTGGCAATTAAAAAATATGGTAAAAGGTTGACAAACTCTAAAAACATTCTGAAAACCAAACTAATAGAAAACACTGTCTGACGGAATCAAAAGTAGAATCCAAACCAAAGTAAATCAAATGTAAAAACTAAACCAACCCAAACAACAAACCAAAATTAAAAGTAGGAACCAAATCAAAAAAACGAACCAAACCATACCAAACCAAAAGTAATGACCAAACCAAATGTAGAAACTAAACCAACCCAAGCAACAAACAAAATCAAAAAGTTGAATCCAAACCAAACCAAACCAAGCCAAATTTAAAAACTAAACCAACCCAAACAATAACCAAAGTTAAAAGTAGAAACTAAACCAACCAAAAAAAATCCCATACCAAACCAAAAGTAGAATCCAAACCAAAAAACAAACCAAACCAAAAGTAGAAACCAAACCAAACAACCAAAAAAAAAAAAAAAAACCAAACTAAACCAAAGGAGGAATCCAAACCAAATCAAAAGTACAACCCAAACCAAAGCAAAAGCAGAAACCAAAGCAAATAAAAACATAACAAAACAAAAACCATGACAAACCGAAACCATATTTAACCATTTCACAAACTTTAAACAAAACAAACAATGGTTGTAAACTATGAAACAAAACTAAAAAAAAAAAAAAAAAAACTAAACCAAAACAACCAAACTACAAAGGAACAAAATTCTAAAATATTCATAGCCAAATATGGTTCAAAGCAACTATGGCTAAAAAAAAAATTAAAAACATGCAAAAAACACAAACCAAATTCATTTGTCAGTTCACAAATTTGGAAACAAAACCAAAACAAAACCATATTTGCCAGTTCACAGATACAGTTCATAGTGGCCATAGTTGTCAATCTCCAAACCAAAATAAAACACTAAATGTCCCATGCATCTCTTTGATTTTGTGTTCACCAACAGCATGTGAGTGTGTGTAGTGTCGACCCACCTCCAGCTCCTTCAGCAGACTCTCTGCCGGTTTCTTACTGATGATTTTATTCTTATAAAGCTCTCTGTACTTTTTCACATGCTGCCGATGTCGACGAATATGCAGCCAAGACCACATGTGAAGACGAGGCTTCACATTGACCTCCAGAACACCCGTGATCACATATCGCCACCTGTAAGAGCCCAAGATACACAATATACACTTTGGGTTTAGTGTTAAGAGTTTAGTATCAGGAACATTTAATGTGCTAAATGTTAAATAGATGTCAAATTAGTTGGCAGTAACAGTAACTGTCATGATTACAATTGCATTCTCAACCAGAAGGAGGAATAATAAATTATGTAGGGGAATGTCGTTAGCACAAAACCAAAATAAATAGTGATCCAACCACAGCACCTGATAGCTCCTCCCCTTCTGCTTCATGAACCAAAGTGTTCAACATTACATATTTCTTTTCATCGTTGCATAAGTGAATAATAAGTTGAATAATATTGTATGTATTTATTTACCTATTTATTTACTCATATATTTATAATTTACTTAAATATTTATTTACTTACATATATATTCATTGACTAAATTAATAATTTATTTACTTGTTATTTATTTAATTTGATATTTACTTATTTACTTTTTATTTGTTTATTTATTTTATATTTATTTATTTACTTTTATATTTATTTACTTTTATATTTGTTTATTTAATTTTATATTTATTTAATAACTTTTATATTTATTTATTTTTATATTTATCGACTTTTATATTTGTTTATTTATTTTTATATGTATTTATTTACTTTATATTTATTTATTTATTTATTTGAATATTTATTTATTTTTATACTTATTTATTTACTTTAAAATTTATTTCTTTGTTTATTTACTTTTATATTTATTTTTTTACTTTTATATTTACTTACTTTTATATTTAGTTATTTGCGTTAAGATTTATTTATTTATATATTATTTAATTTTATCTTTATTTGCTTTAATATTTACTTATTTGTTTACTTTTCTATTTATTTTTTTACTTTTTATTTATTTTTTTACTTTTATATTTGGTTATTTAGTTTCATATTTATTTACTTTTTATTTGTTTATTTATTTGTATATTCATTTATTTATTTTTACAATTGTTTATTTGATTTTATATTTATTTTTTTACTTTTATATTTATTTTTTTACTTTTTATATTATTTATTTTCCTATTTATTTATTTATTTTTATATTTATTTATTTTATTTTACATTTATTTATTTACTTTTAAATTTATTTGTTTACTTTTTATTTGTTTATTTTTATATTTGATTATTTACTTTATTTTTAATTACTTTTATTTTTATTTATTTATGTATTTCAATATTTACTTATTTTCTTTTCTATTTGTTTATTTGTTTATTTTTATTTATTTATTTACTTTTGATTTATTTTATATTTATTTATTTACTTATATATTTACTTATATATTTGTCTTTTTGACTTATTTATTTTTTTGAAAGAGAGGAGAGAGTGTGTTCAATAGGTGGGTTTGTCAAGTCCACTCACCTGTATGGAGCACACTCGGAATTGCACAATATTTTTAAAAAGTATAAAGTAAATAAAAGAGGGTGTCTGGTGCATATGAAGAGGAAAATTGTGCATCACCTACAGGTGGTTTGTAAAGCTTTGTGAAGTACATTAAGAATTGCAAGATATTTTCAGAGACACAGAGAGTTGATAAGAAAGTGTTTGGTGCATACAGAGAGAAGAAAGTGTGTCACCCTTACAATAAATCCTACAAAAATAAAATCAATAGTGTACATGTATGCAATTTGAGACCCACCTATAGATAAAAATATGCAGCTTTACAAAACACACAAGACCACGAACTCCAAAAGCACTCACCACTGACGAGCGTTAGTGTGAACCACCACATATGGCCGATACTTCCTGTAAGGAAGGTTACGGGTCATCATATCCACCGACCCCAACAGCTCCAGAATGCTGACGTACTAGCAAAACAAACACACATATTGATGAGATGAGATTGACAGGCCTGTACACCTTTTGTGAGGAAAAAGTGCATATTTTTGCACAAGTCCAGACCTGTGGTCGGCTGAGCTCCACGGCCACTTCAGGAAGGTTGACCACCAGGTCCATTTTGGGTGAGGAGAAGTCTACATCAGAGCGAGGGTTCATCCGCAACTTGGCATTGGCAGATATTGGACGAAAGACTAAAGCATGGAGATGAAAACAAAGCTGGTTTGTATTTAATAAAGACAAACACTGGTGAATGAATTTAAAGATAAAAAACTCACTGAAGTGATAATCCTGAGGGATGGCAGTCTGGATGGCTACGCTGTGCTTCAGGTATCGCTGCGCAAACACATACGCGACTCATTTCAGAATTGCAGGTACACTCAAAGAATGACCTTTGCTGCTTGTTCAAATGTAAAACTAGTTGAAGCATCACAATTCTTGGGTAATTTTTGGAACAACTTCTGCCTTCTTTTCCAGAGACGCCCGTGCATATTTCAACAGGACAATGCTAAACCACATTCTGCACACAGAGTCCTGCTGCGGAGGAAGAGGAGACAGGTACTTGACTGGCCTGCCTGCAGTCCCGACCTATCTCCAACAGAGAATGTGTGGCGCATTTTGAAGCACAAAATGCACAACAACGACCCCGTATTGAAGCCCACCACTTGTTTGCAGGAAGAATGGGACAAAATGACATCTGAAACACTTCACTACTTGGTGTCTTCAGTTCCAAAACATCTTTTAAGTATCGTGAAAAGAAACAGCAACATTATAAAGTGGTAAATGCTGCACTGTTACAGCTCTTTTTGAATTGTGTTGCAGGAACCAAAACTGGAATCCGCGTTATTTTTAAAATCGAAACAATAAAAATGACAAGGAACACATTAAATAATGTTTGTTGTATTGTCTGCAATGAAATACACGTCAAAGTATATTTAGAAATCACTACTTTCTGTTAATATTTGTGTTTTAGATGTTGCATACAAAAGTTTATTTAACTTATTTAACTACGCAGAAAAAAAATAGACTTAATTAATTCACGCTAACCAAGGCTAATTGTATGATTTAGGACAGTGTTTCTCAACTGGTGGGTCATTTTCAGTGGGTCGCGGTGTGTGTGTTCAAAAAAAAAAAACAACAACAAAAGTTAAATTTTTTACTTATTTTGCTTATACCGGACTTTTATTTTGAAATGCGTGCGAGACAACCCTACCGTTTAACATGTGAAATTTCATTTAATTATAGCAACACATATGTCAAAGCGCAAGAACGACCCCGAATATGTAAAAGTATGGTTATATATATTGACGACAAAAAAGACTTAAAGCCTCAGTGTCAGGAAACATGAAACCTTCTAAATTAAAACAATATTTAGAAACCAGAAAACATGATTTATTACAGTTCATAGAGTTTAATAACAGTATTTGTCGTTTTTACTTTGTATTATTTCTATAATATTATCCATTTTGTTTAATGACAGCAATAAAATATTGTTTATTTGTAAGTCTTAGCGAATTTCTTATGATTTATCTGTCACCACTTGTTTATGTTAACAAATAAATGCAAATCAAGTATAATTCCTAAAATTGCATTATAGTTCCTAAAAATTTGGGTCGCGGCTTGATGACCATGTAAAAATGTGGGCCCCATGGCCAAACCAGTTGAGAACCCCTGATTTAGGAGACTGTCAAAACAAGTATACCGAGATTCCTAAAATTACTATTTTTTTATACACAAAAACATTATTTTTAGAGATATAACTTGACATAATTTGCCTAATTCAAAAGTCTCTGTCAATTTTACAATTACTCATGTACAGTCAATCAATAAAGATGGCAGATTTTTTGTTAACTCAAATACAGGTAATAACAAAACAAATATGTGAACATACCAGAGCCTCCTCAGGGTTGTGGTTGGAGTACAGCTCTGAACTGACGTTCCAGTACGCAAACAGATTATCCAGACGTACAAGCTAAATCAAAACACACACATTTTTAATGAATTAAGAAAATATTGGTCGACTTTGATACTCATAACTGTGAAAGGATGAGTCTTAACCTTAAAAAACAGTTTGGCTTTCTCATCCAGAAGACAGGGGTTCCAGTTCTGATCCGCCGTCTGGAAAATGAAACAAAAATATTATAATACTGACTGATTTGGACATTTAAAATGTCATTAAATGAGCCATTCACGAAGCCACTGTAATGCAGGTGTTTTTTATAGTCATCGTTACTCGGAACAAGACCCTTTATTTCTGATAAAACACATTATTTTTGAGCTTTCATTATTAATATAACTATTTATACGTTAATAATACGTTACTGATATATTCTATCAGGGTAAATCAGAATATCTTACCATACTCTGACATAAATGTATTATTACACACACACACATATATATATATGGTATTTTATACAACAGTTCTGTCTGGTTCTAGAATCTGATTGGCTGATAGCTTTGCGATATTTTGCCAGTAACATCACACAACGGCCTCTTCACCCTTCACCTCTGTGTATTACTCCGCCCACATACAGCAAGCAACAAGCAAAGACGCTACAGTTTGACAAATATTACTGTTTATAGACAACAAAATGTACTTCTGAGGCTTTTTAGTGGAGAATGTAGTTGTTTAGATTGCAACTATGCAGTTTATTTGTAAGAATAGTGCCTATTTTAAAATATTTACTCAGAGCTCGTCGACGGCCAAAGACGATTGACGTTGTCTATCCACAAGATGACGCCAGAACCGCATAATAGGCCCCTGCTCAGTGCGTTCTCTTGAGCGTGAATAAAAAACTGAAAAACGGAAGCCTAGTGGTTTTTAAGGTGGACCGGATAGAGTCAATAAGCTGTGAATAAGAAGCTGGATTCAGCCTCGTCCCTCCTTATCGCAAACACAGTCTGAAAACAGCAGTCTGGTGAGAAATCTCTGTAGACGGATGGCATTTCATGTCACGTTCAGCCTTATAATCCTAAAATGTGAGCAAAATTTGCTGTTTTGTCATCACCTTAAGGGGGTCACACACCAGAAGCGCAGCTTACGCTATAGAGAATCATTCAAACACTAGCTCTTAGGTGACGTTGGTGAATTAGTAACGGCTTCTGCTGTTCTGACGTCAGCTGCAGATGTGAATGAATGGCGGAAGAAAGTAGTTCCTAATACAAAAGGTTTTTAGACTCTGTGTTTGATTTTCTTTTTTATGTACAAAATTGTGCCGTCGAACTGTTTTATAAACGCAATATCACGCGAGTAGCAGTGTGCTATGGCTGTATATCGCCACTGGTGGGGTGCTAAGGCTCCCACTAGTGCTGATATACAGCCATAGCACACTGCTACCTGTGTGATATTGCTCATATATATATATATATATATATATATATATATATATATATATATATATATATATATATATATATATATTTTTTTTTTTTTTTTTTTAAATAATAAGAAATTTTACTCATTTTAATGTCTGTCATACCTGGAGACTGAGGTTTTGTAATGATATCCCAAAGGAGAGAGGAACACTGGGATTGGTGACCTGAAAACATGGATAACATGCAAGGGTAAACAGTAAGTGCTGATACAGTCCATGCTATATGAGTGATAAACTCAAGAAATACTCACATCATCCTCATAGCGGACGTGAATGTTGGATATTTTGACCTGCAGGTTTTTGATCACCTGTGTTACCAGTTTCTCCACAAATGTGTCCTGCTTCTCACCCTTTGGATTCTCTGAATACAAAAAGACAAAAGGAGTTGAACATCTGCTCACATAAACGCACACACACACACACACGCGCACACGCGCACACACGCACAAGCAAACGCAAACACACGCCATCAAACGCACACGCAAAAACACACAATCAAACATGCGTTCAATTAAACAAGAGCATAATCAGACAAGAGCGCAGACACACAATCAAACACGCACACAAACAAACACACATACAAAAATGCACACACACAAGCAAAAAAATACACATGAAGTAAACAAAAACCCAAAACAAACCCACACACACACAAACGAACACACAAATACAAATACACAAACAAAAACACACACAAAACATACAAAAACACACACACACATATATATATAAACACAAACAAACACGCAAAAACAAAACACTCACACAAACAAACAAAAATACAAACACACACACACACACACACACAAACAAATACACACACAAACAAACAAAAAAGCAAACACACACAAACAAAAACACTCACAGAAAAACAAATAAACAAAAAATACACAAAAACAAACACACACACACACACACACACACACACAAACACTTACTGACAAAAAAAACACACACAATAAAAACAAACAAACACACACAGACAAGCAAACATGCACAAACACACTCACAAACACACACGCACACACAAACGACACACACACGTACACACACACACACACACACACACACACACACACACACACAAAGTAAACACACACACACACACACACAAACAAAAAAGCACACACACACACACACAAACAAATAAAAGAAAAAAATACACAAAAACAAACACACACACACACACAAACCAAAACACTCACTGACAAACAAACAAAAACACACACAATAAAAACAAACAAACACACACAGACAAGCAAACATGCAAAAAACACACACACACACGCACACACACCAGACACACACACGCACAAACATACACACACAAGCAAACACACACGCACGCACACGCACGCACACGCGCGCACGCACGCACACACACAGCTCTGACTGCACCTTTTTCTGCTGCTTTCTGTTTGGTCTCCTCGATGCGCTGGAGCTCCCTCTGCCGAGACTCCTGCAGCTGCCGCTCCTCCTTCTCTGCGTCATACTTTATACCTGAGCACACACGCATGCAGGACAGCAGTCAGAAAACACACAGGATCTTCTTCAGTGTTAAAGCTGCAACACACCAAGCCGACGGTCGGCCGTTTGTTGTCCACACATCGCCTCTTGTCAGGTTAACATTGGAGCTCTTTGGACAGACTAGCAAATTACATTTTATTTCTGAAGTAACTTACCCAAAACTGTTCACACTCTATTAAAATGCCCCAGTTATGTTATTATAAAGGTTTGGAGATCTCATACAGTAACAGCGGCAGATGAAGGGTCATCTCTTACTAGCAGTAGGTACGATGAGCAGGTAAACTTCATCCAGCGTGGCCTCCACAGACTGAGTGTACAGGTTCTTCCAGGGGATCTTTAACTCCAAACGCCCTGACAAGAAGACAAATACACACTGAATCAGCTCAAACTATTAAAGTTGAAGTCTTTATTAGCTCCCTTTTATTTAGTTTCCTTTTCTACATATTTCCTAAATTATGTTGAACAGAGCAGGGAAATTTTCACAGTATTTCCGACAATATTTTGTCTTCTGGAGTAAGTCTTATTTGTTTTATTTTGACTAAAATAAAAGCAGTTTTTAATTTTTAAACACATTTTAAGGTCAATATTATTAGCCCCTTTAAGCTATATTTTTCCGATAGTCTATAGAACAAACCACTGTTATATAATAACTTGCCTAATTAACCTCACCTGTCTAGTTTACCTTATTAACCTAGTTAAGCCTTTAAAAGTCACTTTAAGCTGTATAGAAGTGTCTTGAAAAATATCTAGTCAAATATTATTTACTGTCATCATGACAAAGAGAAAATAAATCAGCTATTAGAGTTATTAAAACTATTATGATTAGAAATGTGTTGGAAAAATCTCTCTGTTAAACAGAAATTGGGGGACAAAAATAAACAGGGGGGCTAATAATTCTGACTTCAATTGTATATAGTAGAAGACATAATTATTAGCCCTCATGTAAAAAATTGTTTTTTTTATATATATATTTCACAAGTAAAATACATTAAAAATGTTAATTACAGTAAAACATTATTTTTTCAGTCCGGTATAGATGATATATGACCTAAAGTTCTGAACTAATTTCTAGTAATAATTTTTTTTGTCTTTGCCATGATGACAGTATATGATATTTTATTATTTATTTAGCAAGATACTAGCATTCAAACTGAAGTATTTAGCCTAAATTAAGTAAACTAGGCAAGATAGGTTAAAAGGGGCTTATAACAGTGACTTTAGATGTTAAAAAAAATTAAAAAATTAAAAAAATAAATAAAAAATAAAAAAATGTCATCAGTAATTTGAATTGTCATACATAAATAAAAACATACATGTATATTTTTCTCAGCTTTTTTCATATTTTTTCAACAATTTTAATTGTCATAACATATAAATAAATCTTTATATTTTTCAGTAATTTTAGTTGTCTTAAATAAATGCATACATATTTTTTAATAATTTTAGTTGTCTTAAATAAATGTTTTTTCAGTAATTTTAATTGCCAAGAACAAATAAATAAATATATTTTTTCAGTAATTTTAATTGTCATAAATCAATATATTAAAAAAAAGAAAAATAAATTAACTGATTAAAAATAAACTGATTAATTAAAACCTAATTAATTAATTAATTTAAAATAATAAATGTATTTAAAATAAATCAATTCAAAATAAATAAAATCTTTTCAGTAATTTTCATTCATTCATTAATTCTCTTTTTAGCTTAGTCCCTTTTATAAATCAGCGATTGCCACAGCGGAATGAACCGTCAACTTGTTCAGCATATGTTTTACACAGTAGGTTCCCTTTTCAGCTGTAACCGAACACTGGGAAACACCCATACAATCCTACATTCACACTCATACACTATGGCCAATTTAGCTTATTCAATTCACCTAAACCACATGTCTTTGGATTGTGGGGGAAACCAGAGGAAACCCAAGCCAACATGGGGAGAACATGCAAACACAGTAATGCCAACTGACCCAGCCGAGGCTCAAACCAGTGACCTTCTTGCTGTGAGGCTGTCGTGCTACCCATTGCGCCACCGTGACGCCCCTTCAGTAATTTTAATTGTCATAAATAATTCAATCAAAAATAAATAAATAAACTTTTAATTATTAAAAAATAAATCTATTAAAAATAAACAAATAAATAATCATTATTTACTTATTTAAGCCAAATAAAAAATACTTTCTCCAAAAGAAAAAAAAAACCCTAGCTTTGTCATACAACACTTAATTAATTTAAAAATGTAAAAATTAATTTTAATTTTAATTAATTAATTTTAATCAATTTAAAAATTAATTTCCCAGCAGGACAGGATACTTCTGTCTTCCACTGTTTACAGTATGTAATAAAAAAGTCAACAACAAAGCAACACATCAAGCAGTTCAACACTCACCAATGTGTCCTGCTCTGACTTTGAAAGGAATGTCCAGCTGGCTCTGATGCAGAAATGAAAGTCACAAAGCCATTCAAAAGCTTTATTCATTCATTAAAAAGCTCCTCGAATGAACATTCATAAAACACAAAGCAACTCACCAATGCATTTTCTTTAATCTCGAGGTTCCTCAATATGGCATCACCTGCAACAGAAACATTAGCACAACACATGCAGGACGTTATGTAAAATAATTCATTCATATCACAGAGCTAATATTTACTGTGGGCCTGAAAGCTTTTTATCAGCGAGTCAGTGAGAAGTTCGGACATACTGGTATTATTCTTTCCTTGCATATATTGCATTAAAAACAGTGATGATTTTAGCATGTAGCTATACAGTGAATGATGAGAATTTCTCAATATTACTGATTTACAAAGCCAGTTGACCAATAATATTATGCATTTACTTATGCACATATTAAAGAGACTGTTCATCGGTTCATTTAGCCCTGCCTCCTCAGTAGTTGCTGTTCTGCTATTGGCTGGAGGGAACTAAAGGTTTAGATAAATATCGTTATCATAATTATGACTTCAAAACAATATTAGCACTAACTGTTTATTTATTTTAGTTAAATGAAATTAAATTTAGCTATTTATTTAAGGTTAATTGTTCCACTTTGATTGCAGTTGGCTGCTAATACGCATATCATACATACATTTACAAGGAATGCTTACTGAAATTACCGTATATTATTAAGGAGAAAGTCTGAATGAGCGAAAATAAAACCAACTTCACCTCAGTGTTAGCTTTCAGTTCAGGGTTACAGTAATCGCATGTTCAGGAGTGTCAAATTATGAATATTTCTGGGTGAACTATCCCTTCTCGGTTTACAATTTAGAAAGAATAATTCAGTGAAAAGACAAAGTCAAAATCCACTTTTACCTCTTAAACCAAATTTTCCTCAGTGCTAGATTGAGGTAAAGCTGGTTTTATATTGGCACAGTCATTCAGTGAGTTGCTCCCCATATTGTTTACCATGGCACTTTGAATATTCGACCTGAAATCACATGTGATTAGGACACTATTTATTTAAGGTTAATTATTCTACTTTGATAGTAGTTGGTTGCTAATATGATAAGCATATGTGGAATTTATAAAAAATATGTTTCTGAAGCAGGGCTCAACAATAAGGACTGCCCGCTGGCCCAGGGCCAGTGTGCAAGACGCTCGGGACAGTATACAGAATGGTTACTGGCCCGATCGGGGCTAGTGCTGCCTTGTCACTAAAATTTAATTTGGCCGCGACTGTCAATCGCATGCTTTCATGCCCAGATGTTTGTTTCAGAACTTGTTTGCCCAGTAAGCATGGTTTGTGCGGCTAATATGATTATTATGTTGATGGATCAAGCAAGAACAAGAAGTGAAATGCATTTTAAATCTAGATTTACAAATAAATGAAAAATGAAAATATAGACAGTATTATAGACTGATGTAATGAGCCGGTTTATAAAATTAGGTATTTTGGTTGGTTATAAACAAACAAAAACCATAAAATTGTCAACTAAATAATTCAACTAAACCACACATTAAACCATTCACTTTAGTTAATCTAATCAGTATTGTATTTAAATTAAATCATTTTTAAATTGTCAGTTGTATTTAAAGAAAAGTAATGCTAAATAACTAAATGGCTAACTTCTTTTTTTTTGGTGGGGCCAGAGAAAATTTTGGCAGGGCAAGTAAAAATCTGAACCACTTGCCCGATCGGGCCGGTAAAAAAAGATCCCTAGCGTTAAAAGGAACTTAATAGCTATATTTTAGCCGCGTATTTTAAATAATGTGTCAAAAATAAAGTTTGTGAATCTACAATTTTAATACTTAAAAAAAAAATATTAAAGTGTCATGCAAACAAAAAGAGTAGCATGGAAAATGTGGAGGTATTTTATTACAGTTCGAAATGATTTAACAAAAGGTGGGCTGACTTGTTAAACTGACGGCAAACTGTGCAAAACATCACTTCATTTTTTTGTCACGTTGTTCACATGTAAATGTCTGCTTCCAAAACATTAGAAACAGACATTTTCTTTTAGCCTTATATTTTGATATTGCCGCCATGTTGCTGTTTCTTCCCTGTTCTGGATGTTACCAGGTTATGAAAAGAAAATTGCATGCTCAAAACATCAAATCAGATGAGAGGAACCTTAAAGCAATATGGTGTTTACTACATCACAGACAAGGTAGTGTTTAAAGACTTAAAAAGCACGCAATTGACAAATAGCAGACAAATTAAATGTTTGGCCAGTAAATGATCCTGTCTACTGTCCCAAGCGTCTCTCACGCTGGCCCTGGGCCACCGGGCAGTCCTTATTGTTGAGCCCTGCCCTATATTGTTTACCATGGTACTTTGAATATTCGGCCTGAAATCACATGTGATTATGACTTGAAAACAATATTAGCATTATTTATTTAAGGTTAATTATTCTACTTTGATAGTAGTTGGTTGCTAATATGATAAACAAATGTGGAATTTATAAAGAATACGCTTCTGAAGGTATATTATCAAGAAGAAAGTCCCAATGTGCGAATATAAAACCAAATTTTCCTAAATTCTAGCTTTATATATAGTTTTATATTCACACATTCAACTTGTGACATGCTCCCTATATTGTTTACCATGGTACTTTGAATATTTAGCCTGAAATTACATGTGATTATGACTTCAAAACAATATCAGCACTATTTATTTAAGGTTAATTATTCTACTTTGGAAGAAGTAAGCTGCTAATATGCTTTCCAAATGTAGAATTTACAAGGATTTACTTTCTGAAATTACATTATTATGGAAAAGTCTGAATGTGCGAAAATAAAACCAACTTCACCTCAGTGTTAGCTTTCAGTTCAGGGTTACAGTAATCGCATGTTCAAGCCTGTCCTGAATGTCAAAGCATTACATCAGATTCCTCCTCAGTGAGATCGAGCACACTCTTCTAAGCACGGGTATACCCATATACATGTTTATAATCGTGAATTTACACAGACACGTGGAGTAAAACAGACAGTAAGGGCAGAAATGCTCCTTTACCTCCCCATATGCCGAGGCTGAGCTGCGAGCTGTCGAGGTTTCCAACATAGTCCCCCAGAAACCGGTTCAGCACGTCGACCACCACCGACTCAAACACCATTTTCGCGTCCTCCTCATGCGACCATCAGCATGTTTTCACTCGTCTGCGACTCGTGCAGCAGCTGAGAGTGTAGTTGTATTTACTGTCAGTCCCGTTTCCTGAAATAAACATCACTGGAGGGACGGGGAGGAGGATCTGAGTGCGCGCCGCCGCCACCGCCTGTGCGACAGCGCCCTCTGTTGACGAACATCCGGCATGGGATCAAAATCGTTCATATCTTTATATATGTATATTGTATATTTTTGAATATTAGCGCTGGGCTAAAATTTATCGCATGCAAAATAAAAATTTGTTTAGAAATAATATAATAATAACAAGTGTATTTTATTAACGTCTGAACGCTGAACCTAATCATCAATATAACATGAAAACAGTAATTATACAGTAATTATTCGCATTATTTATTAAATTACTGATTAAATTGTACTTTATTTACGTCTACCTCTACCCCAGCTCTTACTGTAATGTAAAACAGCAATCATACCGAGTATAATTCACATTATTTTTTTAAATTACCTATTAAAATGTTTTATTAATGTCAACCCCAACACTCACAGTATTATAAGAACTGTAATTATACAGAGTATTATTCATATTATTGATTAAATTACCCATTAAATTGTATTTTATTAGCATCTATACCTACCCGAACCCTCACATCAATGTAAAAACAGTAATTATATAGTGTGTTATTCACATTATTTATTAAATTACCTATTAATTTGTATTTATTAACGTCTACCTCCATCCCAATCCTGACAGTAATGTAAAAACAGTAATTATTATAGAGTATTATTCATAGTATTTATTAAATTTTCCATGAAAGTGTATTTTATTAACGTCTACCCCTACTCCAACCCTCACAGTAATGTACAAACAGTAATTATACAGACATTTATTCAAATTATTTATTAAATTACCAATAAATCATAACTCAATAACGTCTACCTCCATCTCAACCCTGACAGTAATGTAAATACTGTAAATATATTGAGTATTATTCATATTATTTATTAAATTACCTATTAAATTGTGTTTTTAATAATGTCTACCCCTACTCCAACCCTCACAGTAATTTAAAAACAGTAATTATATAGTGTATTATTCATATTATTTATTAAATTACCTTTTAAATTGTATTGTATTAACATCCTTCTCCATCCCAACCCTGACAGTAATGCAATTACAGTAATTATATAGTGTGTAACTCATATTATTTATTAAATTACGCATTTATTTGTATGTTATTAACATCTACCCCTACTCCAACCCTGACAGTAATATAAAAACAGTAATGATATAGTCTATTATTCATATTATTTATAAAACGACCCATTAAATTGTATTTTATTAACATTTACCCCAACCCAACCCTGACAGTAACGTAAAAACCATTATTATTAAATAATTTAAAAATATTATCTATTAAATTACCTTTGAAATTGTATTGTATTAACATCCTCCTCCATCCCAATTAATTATAATAATATAATTATATAACATAATACTCATGTTGTTTATTAAATTACGCATTAATTTGTGTTTTATTAACGTCTACCCTTACGCAAACCCTCACAGTAATGTATATATGGGCAGCACGGTGGTGCAGCGAGTAGCGCTCTTGCCTCACAGCAAGAAGGTCGCTGGTTCGAGTTTGCATGTTTTCCCCATGTTGGCGTGGGTTTCCTCCGGTTGCTCCGGTTTCCCCCACAATCCAAACACATGCGCTATAGGGGAATTGGGTACGTTAAATTAGCCGTAGTGTATGAGTGTGTGTGTATGTGTGAGTGAAAGCGTGTGTTTGGGTGTTTCCCAGTACTGGGTTGCAGCTGGGAGGGCATCCGCTGTGTAAAATAAGTGCTGGAATAGTTGTCGGTCCATTGCGCTGTGGTGACCCCTGATGAATAATGGGAGTAAGTTGAAGGAAAATTAATGAATTTCTATTATTTTATCAGTTAATTAGCTTCAATATTTACATTTTTATGTTTTTCATAAGTTGAATATAATAATTTACACAGTTATCTTTTAGAACTGTATACTAAACTGTATTATAACCTAAAAAAGAAAAGAATATCATATTCACAGACTTGTTGAGTATATTGTGGGCTGTAGATGGCGCTGTAAGACCATCAATAATCACGAAACACAATGCTGGTGGACTGCTTTAAAGACGACTGAACTTCTCTGGGGACTCATGAGCTCCTCCTGCAGGAGAACAGGCTCTGAATCCAGAATGCACACACACACACGCACGCACACGCACACACACAGCAGATTGATCTTGATCATGCTTTCTGGTGTCTCTGTCACAACAGATGTCCTCTTTAATTTTAATAACAGAACCTTCGGTTCTTTCGCTTTATGTTCCTCTAAGTCCTCTGTCCAAACTTCTGAACCACCATCTTATCCAGCATATGTTTTACAAAGCGGATGCCCTACCAGCCGCAACCCAAAACTGGGAAACACCCATACATTATAGCCAATTTCATCAATTCATCTTTAGGGTATGTGTTTGGACTGTGGGGAAAGGGGAGCACCCGGAAGAAACTAATGCTAACACGGGGAGAACATGCAAACTCCACACAAAATTTACTAAATTTACCCATTAATTGTGTTTTATTACTGTAACATCTACAGCTACCCCAACCCTAAACTCAAGCATCACAATAATGTAAAAACAGTAATTAAACCGAGTAATATTCATATTATTTATTAAATTACCCATTAATTGTGTTTTATTAACGTCAACCCCTATCCCAATCCTTAACTCAAGCATCACAGTAATGTAAAAACAGCATTTAAGCCAAGTATTATTCATATTATTTATTAAATTACCCATAAAGTCTATTTTATTAACATCTATCCCAATTCCAAACCTAAACTCAAGCATAACCATAATGTAAAAACAGTAGTTAAACTGTATTTTATTCATATTATTTTTTTAATATTACCCATTAAAGTGTTTCATTAACTTACAGCAACCCCTAATCTAAACTCAAGCATTAGAGTAAAGTAAAACAGCGATTAAATCGAGTATTATTCGTATAATTTATTAAATTACGTATTAAAGTGTATTTTATTAATGTATACCCCTATCCCAAACCTAAACTCAAGCATCACAATAATATAAAATAGTAATTAAGCAGAGTATCATTAATGTTATTTATTAAATTACCCATTAAAGGGTATTTTATCAACTTCTACAGCAACCCCAAACCTAAACTCAAGCATCAGAGTAATGTAAAACGGTGATTAAACCGAATATTATTCAAATTATTTATTAAATTACTTATTAAAGTGTATTTTATTAACGTATACCCCAATCCCAATCCTAAACGTAAGCATTACCATAATGTAAAAACAGTAATTAAACCGATAATTATTCATATTATTCATTAAATTACCCATAAAGTGTATTTTATTAACATCTACCCTTATCCTAAACCTAAACTCAAGCATAACCATAAAGTAAAACAGTAATTAAGCAGAGTATTATTCATATTATTTAATAAATTACCCATTAATTGTGTTTTATTAATATCTTTCCTTACCCCAACCATAAACTCAAGCATCAGAGTAATGTAAAAACAGTATTAAAACCGAGTATTATCAATATTATTTATTAAATTACCCATTAAAGTGTATTTTATTACCGTATACCCCTATCCCAACCTTAAACATAACCCTCACGGCAAAGTAAAAATATTAATTACTGTGGTACAGTCTCGCATTTGACGTGGGTATCCGCAGCTGTATCCCATCTAGACTTTACCGGGCATTTCTTGAGTAGAGCACGTGCGCCTCTTTGGTTTCCATGGTAACAAACCGGCAGGACGCTAAAGGATTGTTATAAATAAACTAAATACGACATCTTATGAATCCAAAATAAACATTGTAAATTACATATACTCTAATTTAAAATTATTTTCACAAGTTTGAGCTTCACTTCCAACAGAGTTGTTCTGTTTTTGGCTGCATACGTTACTTTTTCCATGCTAACGCTAGCTGTGCTGTCAATACATACATCGAAATTAAAGGTAAGACGATTTTTTATGATAACATAGTCTTAATAATTACTAATTTACAGTTATTTTGAAGGACGAATTCGTGTATAATGAGGCCTGTAGCCAGCCTGGTGTAAAGGGTGGTTGTTTTTTCTCAAAAGTGGACTTTTTTTGCAGTTATTCACCTTATTTGTTATTTAATTATGAGGTTCATGCATTTTAGTCACATGTTAAGCACTGTTTCTAGCTGAATTAGCTTGTCAGCTTTTTGCTTTTTGAGGTAACAAAAACATTTGCTAAATATTTAGAATAAAGAAATATGAAAAGAGTAATTATTTTTAATAAAGACAAATTTATGCATCATATATCATTAGGAAAAAAGGAGTCTGTTCAAGTTCATTCATTTTCTTTTTGGCTTAGTCCCTTTATTAATGTTGGGTCACCATAGCGGAATGAACCACTAACTTATCCAGCATGTTTTACGCACCATCAACCCATCACTGGGAAACATCCATACACACTCATTCACACACATACACTGCGGACAATTTAGCTTATTCAATTCCCCTGTAGCGCAAGTGTTTGGACTGTGGGGAGCACCTGGAGGAAACCCACACCAACACGGGGAGAACATGCCAACTCCACACAGAAATGCCAACTGACCCAGAATGTTCTTATCCAGCCAGTTTTTACGCAGCCGATGCCATTCCAGCCACAACACATCTCTGGGAAACATCCACACACACATTCACACACTACAGACAATTTAGCCTACCCAATTCACCTGTACCGCATGTCTTTGGACTGTGGGGGAAACCGGAGCACCTGGAGGGAACACACGCGAACGCAGGGAGAACATGCAAACTCCACACAGAAACGCCAACTGAGCCGAGGCTCGAACCAGCGACCCAGCCACCTTCTTGCTGTGAGGCGACAGCACTACCTACTGTTCCACTGCCTCACCCTGAATTTATGATGAACTTGCTTATTCTTTCATTTTTATGACATGATGATTTACATTCAGAACAACACGAGAGCAAGCAAACACCTTCCTTTTTACCGGTTTTATTTTTTGTTGGTCTCATTTGTTTATTTTTCCCCCTCAGACACACATGTGAGATGATCTTCTCCGATGTAAAGATGTTACG